TTGCGGGCGAGTGGTTGGTTTTGGGCCGGGGCGGAGGAGCTAGCGGCAGCTGAAGCTCCAGAGGCGGAAGCGGAAGAACCATCGTCGCTGGACATATTGCACTTTACTCACCGAGTCACGTCGGGGGTCACCAATTTAGTAGTCTAGATACAGTGCAACGAGTGTTAGTTTCCAAGATCTTTACAAGACTGGCGAACACTAAATGTCATGAAGAAAGTGAAGAGAAAGGAGGTTTATATAGGAAAGAGATTGTGATAGAAGACTGTGCAATGAAGTTTGTTGTTTTGTTAGATATCTGACGTGTGCTGTTTGGAAGAAGTGTTTGGATGCAAACAGAACTTACAAGAGATGAGTAAAGACTACTTTTCTACAATAGCGTTGTAGGCGAGGAGTGCGTAACATCAAAAGATGTCGTAATGTGTATTGGAACTATGCTAGCCAAACATTACGTAATTATTATGGTAGCGAAGTACGTGTGTTAGGTATTACAATGTGTGCGAGAGTATGGTGAATCAGTGTTTGTGATGATGAGGAAAATATGACGTGTACATGCAAACAAATGATGATGTCATGATGCGAGAACGTCAGAGACGCTACAAGATATCTATATTATGCAATTTAGTCAGCAACATTACTCATCGGGCATATGACGTGGAAAGTCTGGAATAGTCCAGAACAACATGACATACATGTGTACATGAGTCATGACTGTACCAACTAGTAACTAAAAGGAAGTGATACTAGAAGTGATGACAGCAGCATGCATGGAAGATCTATGATCTTCTAGAAGTGCGGTACTCCTGATGTAATCAAATCATATGTGAGGTACATGATGTAGGACTTGTCCGAAAGTAGTAACAAGAGTAATTATAAGAGTCATGCAAAGTACTAGTCATGCGTTAACTGTAAAGCAGGGATACTACACTAGCCCTAAGCTGCGTAAGCATATTTTTTGTCTAAACCGAAAGATTATGCCGACCTTACACGTTGGAATCCGTATATTATGCCGGAGCATAATTTTTGGACGAAATCCCAAGATTATGCCAAATATTATGCCGGCATAATCCGCCAAGGGCTATGACAAGGAGTCGTAACTGGGGTATTTAAAAAAAACATCTGCAGGCTTTCCGAGAACGCTGTATGGGTATGCCCCTAAGCATAATTTTTGCCTTCCGAAAGATTATGCCGACCTTACAATGCAACACGCTGGTGCAGCACTAGCACATTGCAAGTAGCCATACTTGTGACTCAGTAAGTAACGGTTAGTTAGACCTGTTCAGTGACATATGACATATTTCCTGTCGATGATGTCATTTAACCAGTTGACGCCACCCGGATCTCGTGCGCGCAATTTCACGCAATCTGCAGAGGTCTGTACTGTTGTTGAGCGACCTCCCAATTACTCGTCAGATCATTAATTGTGTAGGACGGTTGGCAGTTCTGTTCTCGGTCGGCCTCTGTAGCCGGTCGTCAGGTCCCGCACACTGAAGTAAGACTGCATTGCTGCATGCGCTGGGACGTCTCCGTCCAACCGCAGGACGGCCGAATAGCCCCCATCTTGCCTTTGCAATTGAGACAGATAGTTACTCGTTCGGTGTTGCACCGAGCGTTGTATATTATTTGTATTTTAATGGATTCTCCACAGGCCTTAGCCTAAATCGAGGGAGTCTCCGTTAACAGGTTATGAAGAAGAGAAAAATGAAAATAGGAAATAGAATGATGCGGGGTGGTAGTAATGTAACACAGTGCTCTATGACATCGCTACCGTAGCGTCTACGTGGAATGAAACCAGAGGGCTCATAACGGGTGATAGCAAAGATTTAAGTGTGTGCGGAGTCTGCGGACAAGAGCGGTAAAACATTTTGGGCTGGACACAGTACGAATAGCAGCCGGGAGGGAGTTCCATGTGGCAGTGGTGACAAAGAGAAAGGTGGCACGGGTGTGTGTGCTGGCTCTAGCAGGTGGGAGTAGATGTCGGGGGCGCCTGGCGCTGTTTGACACTGAGTAGCCTAGGTCCTCCAGGGTCGTCATCTGGCTATTGATAAGGTGGTGGAGCTCAATAAGGCACTGAATGTGTCTTCGCCATGCAAGGCTGGGCCACTGGAGGTGGGCGAAAAGTGAGGCTTTCGGCTCCGTTTGAGGAGGGTACACGCCATACTGCCGCAGGATCACCCGTGCCACTCTTGCCTGTAGCCGTTCAAGGGTAGTACTAGTAGCCTGAGCACTGGAGAGTTGAAATTGCCAGAGCTAGGGAGGAGGCGTATTCAACCACAGGTCGAACATACAGTGTACAACAAGCGGCTGGCTACGGCTGGGGTGATACGCTTGGTCATGTGGATCAGCAGGACCGCTCGCTGGCGAAACTTTGTCATGATGGTGGCGACGTGGTTGGTGAAGTCGAGGTTAGAGTCCAAGATGACTCCAAGATGTCGATGAATCGTTACATCAGACACGTCATCTCCCTGCATTCCCAGGTGCGGAGTCGGATGAGTAGGGTGGGCACGTTCTGCACGACTTCTAGGAGAGAACTGCATGGTGCAAGACTTCGACGGGTTGAAGCACCCTTCGACTGAATCAGCCCACTGCAGAACGCCATCAGTGGCGGCCTGGAGGGGGTGGACCATTAGTTGTTGGTTAGGTCCTCCGGCTGCTCTCCCAAGAGTAGTGTCATCGGCAAATAAGAGCACATCAGTAGTGACATCAGACGATATGGTGCGAGGAAGGGCATTAATGTAGAGAATGAAAAGAATGGGGCCAAGGTGAGATCCCTGGGGAACGCCTGCAGAAACTGGGTGTGTCGGCGACTTGGCAGACAGAACTTTGACACAGAAGGAACGGACTCTGAGGTAGTTGGTGAACCAAGAAACGGCTTCAGGGGATATGATAGTAGCGAGCTGGCGGAGAAGAACAGTGTGCGGTACCTTGTCAAACGCTTTCGCGAAATCCAAGAATAGAGCGTTGTAGTCAGTGCGCTTGTCGTGTGCTTTAGCCACTCTTGAAGACAGGACAATTAGCTGATCGAGTGTCGACTTGCAGGAGACAAAGCCATACTGGTGGTCGGTAATTAATCCCTGCCTATTGAGGAAGCTGGTGAGGTGCTCGGCGATGATGGTGTCCAGAATCTTAGCTATGGCCGGCAGCAGGGGGATATGCCTGTAGCTAGCTGGCTCCACAGGTTTGCCGTTGGAGATGACTTGAGGCCAATGTCAATGAACTCCAACAACACTTCTCAGTTGCTTCCGGTGGAAAGCATCCAGCTTGGCAGCTACTGAGTCTGTCATCCCCCATGCTCCAGTATTGTAACCACATTGTTACCACAGGATGGGCAGGATCATAGCATTGTACATGTATATCCGTATACGGAGAGCTTCTCTTACAATATTGGGTCCGACCCATAGCGCCCAGAGTTTCTTCAGGGCTGCAGTTGCAAGGCTTTGTCGTCTTCTGATGTCTTCCGGTACCTAGCAGGGATCCCAGTTGTTTTGTGTTTCTCCATTGTTCGGAGATACGGTCTGCTTGGCGGTCGATGGTCGTAAATTCGGTTTTTGATACGTTGACATTTTTGAATGAAGTTGAAGACACCACTGCAGCTGTACTTATGGTTGATAGATATGGTGGTAAAGACACACCTGGCAATATGGCGGTAAACACACGCCTGTCCACACACGCTCTCTAGGCTGCAAAGTTCTGGCACAGAGCTCTCCTTCTCACCACCACCACCATCAGTTCGCGCCTGACGCCTGGTCGATGCATGGCTGGCGGTATCCGGCATAGCAGGCTGGTACATCAAGTAGCGCATGGCACATAGATGATGACACAGCAACGACATAGCTCGATTGCGACGTACGCTTCGTCCCCGCTGGACTCATCAGGGAATCTTCTTCTTGGATGTCTTCATACGGAGCTTGACTCGGGAGAATGAAGTTGAAGACACCACTGCAGCTGTACTTATGGTTGATAGATATGGTGGTAAAGACACACCTGGCAATATGGCGGTAAACGTAAACACACGCCTGTCCACACACGCTCTCTAGGCTGCAAAGTTCTGGCACAGAGCTCTCCTTCTCACCACCACCACCATCAGTTCGCGCCTGGCGCCTGGTCGATGCATGGCTGGCGGTATCCGGCATAGCAGGCTGGTAGAGTCTACATCAAGTAGCGCATGGCACTTATGATGAGTCCAGCGGGGACGAAACGTAGGTCTACGGCTATCGTCGCTATGTCGTTGCTGTGTCATCAGCTATGTGCCATGCGCTACTTGATGCACCAGCCTGCTATGCCGGATGCCGCCAGCCATGCATCGACCAGGCAGGGCAGAGCATGCAGAGGAATACTGTATACTTGTACATGTACCAGTATGCTAGCTCAGTAGCTGTCGCGGACTCGCGGAACTCGGGAGCTCCATTCAACCATGGCACACTACTATTACTACAGTGTACAGTGCTAGCAACTGAAATCCGACCCTCTCGCCGCCGGCGCGGGGCGCGGGCGAGGGGGTCGGATTTCAGTTGCCAGCACTGTACTAGTATTACCGATATCAAGAATACGGTTTGTAGATCGACTGAGTCTGTACTGAGTCTGTTGCCGATTATGCATTATTAATGAATGATTGATTTGGAACAAAATCGATGCTGGCCATATGACATCACTTGAATGTTCAGAAACACACAACAGCTCAGCTAGCCACCAGTATTACTAAGGGGTCGTCGCAAAAGTTTTCTGTCGTCCCTGAAACGAACATCGTTTATTTCGTACTCGGACCCCCTCCCCTCCCTCTGAAACGAACACAGCCTGCTATGCTGGACGACGAAAATCGCATGCATGAGCATGTCATATGTACAGTGTCGGTCGACTTGCGATTTTGGCTCGCACCCCCTCCCCCCCAAATGAATCATGTTCGTTTCAGGGACGACAAAAAACTTTTGCGACGACCCCTAATACTATGCCTTTCGGCTTTACACCTGACTTTCATTGACTTATCTACGCACGACTACATGATTGTAGTTGTACACAAGCTGAGATTACAGAATGGTGATGTAAAGCATGCAGGAGCTTTGGACATTTGGAAACAATAATATTTTGATGATGAGCATGGCAATGACTATGTCAATGAGGTAGAACTCATTCAATGAGCCATTGGCATTGGGAGGATAGGAAGAAAGACCTTGTGACTAAACCTCTTCCATCTTGACTTTCATGGACATAATTAGTGATCATCTGTACGAGATTTACTACATTGTATTATAAAATCTCCTGGCAGCACCATGCAGCGTTCCGCGTTTTTGGCAGTTACGGTGTGTGCTCTACTATCTGTAAGTGGCACTAGTCAAGTGCCTGTAGGCCACTTGCAGCCGCTAGGCTCTCATCGACCAGCGGACAAGGAGATAGACGCTTACGACGAAGTCATCTCACCTGAAGAGTTCTGGGAGAAATATGCATCGCAAAGAAAGCCGGTGGTGTTCCGCGGCGCCGGAAGACACTCGGCCGCCATGGGACTGTGGACAGACGAGTACCTCAGTCGACAGTATGGGAGACTGGAGGTGAAGCTTGAAGGCAAGAGAGAGAAGCTGGGCAAGATGCCAGTCGGTGAAGTCGGTGTTGGCCGGGACACAATAGAGAATTTCTTGAAAACGTTAGTAAAAATGTGCCATGCTAGAACATGTACACCGAGGCAAGCTTCACCAGACCTCTTCCATCTTGATTCAAGATTCAAGATTCAAGAGACAGCCATAACATTCAAAGAGCCATACACACACTAGTACAGTGCAGGCAACTGAAATCCGACCCCCTGGGCGGTGGGTTCACATTCTTTGCGATGTGAGCGCACCGCTCAGGGGTCGGATTTCAGTTGCCTGCACTGTACATTGCGGATACGCACGATTCAAAGGTGCTGGGACGTACGATCCCTGGTCGACATTGACGAATACAGCACTATACAATACAACACTATCTTCAGACCTAGGTATAAACCATTAACATTTTGACTGCACACTTTCACTCACGAATAACAACACTCGAATCATACCCAATCGAGGATAACGTTACTCGCAAGGTTGCCCGTGCCATGCATCTCGTGGTGTAAGGACATTGGACAAAGGACATCTGTATACAGTTTCGAACGGAATTCTGCAACTTTTCCTCATACCCTCTACACCGCGGTTCTTCTAATGAACATAACCATAATGTCGCATGCTAACCACTGTGTTGGTCTGCAACAGTAATACTGCCAAAGAAATCCGTCCCACGAGTCATAAGTAGCGCCGCGTTTCCGTTTCAATAACATGAAGGTCCAAACACCCGTCCGGGGTGTTTGGGGAGGGGGGGGGGCATGAGCCTCGGTGCTGCTTTCGTCTTGCGGGTCAAATTTCTTCGGCCATGACGGCACGTGTGTACGAGTCAAGTCAGCGCCCTGCACCAGCTCACTCAGCACATGCAGCACGGTGTTTGCAGGTCTAGGGCTGCACAGCGCCCGGCGCGTACTCGACACACACGGTTGGATTTCATTGAGCAGCACGGTACAAGTGTGCTCGGATACTGGTAGTGCGACAGGCGTCGTTTCCAAACGGAGGAACTGTTTTTGCACACCAATGTGGGTACTTGGAAGTGATGCTATGGTTTCTGTCTGTCTAACTCAATCCAGGTATAAAAATGAGGACAAGTATATCGTATCACAGCTACCTGAACCGATGTACACGCAGGTGTCTGTGCTGCCATGCCTCCTGTGTGGTACGTTCAAGCGGCGGCTGCTCGAAGTGAACTTGTGGGTCAGCTCCGGTGGCAGCCGCAGTCTCCTACACCGAGATGCCGACAATGCCATTAACTGCCTGCTGCACGGAAGGTGTGTGCTGATAATGTATATAGAATACATGCAGTGTATCGAGCCATGGTTGCGTTAATCGTGCAGCGTACTCGTACGGCGCTGCTCAGTGAAATCCGGTCATGTGACTGAGTCAATGTCACGCCGGGGGATGTGCAGCCTAGGCCTGTGAACACCGCACTGTGCACTGGTGCATTGTACTGACATGACTCACGTGGCAATTGGATGAGTCGTTCAGCAGCGCTGTACTGTAGCTCAGAGGGGCAGATGCATTGCTCCTATTCCCCGCCACAGAGCTGATAGAATGCAGCTCAAGACAGAGGCTATTAATTTTATCTGCGGCACTGTGTGTTGTGTTGCAGAAAGGACTGGATCATGGTCGACCCGGCGTACGATGACTTCGTTTCTATGGCGGAGGAAAATGAGGGAGCCTTGGGTGGCTTCTCTCTGGTCAATGTGGACAAGGTCAACCTGGTACGACACCCCGACTTCAAGAAAGTTCACTGGACGTATAGTAACTTATCAGCTGGAGACTGCATATTCATTCCTTATGGTAAGAAACTCAGCAGGTAGTTTACACATGTCACCAAGGTATTATCAGACAGACACCGCGGCCTGTAATACTCTAGAGTTTGATACCCACAGCCAGCATCATGAAGAACAACATTGGCTATACGAAGTGCCATACAACAACATCTCACGGATAACGACACTATCTTCAGGCCTAGTAATCATTGCCTGCAATGATATCTTCAGACCTAGTCATCATTGCCTGCTTACTTTCAACCACAGGAATAGAGATTCTGTGAATGATGGCATGATGGTGAGTCATCAGAACCGCCTATGAGTGCTATGTATAAAGCGCGAGTCGCAAGTGCATCGCTGTGCCATGACTGTGCCAAAGCATAAAATGATGTGATCGCATAACGTCTGTAGCGACAAGCCACACCAATACCAACACTTTTCTCAAGCCCAATCGAGGGTCGATATTCACAAGATTGACTGTACACGTTGAAGAGAAGGAGGTTTCTGCACCTAACATTGCCGGGAGCTCACACTTCCAGCTGACTGCATGACTGACACTTGACTGACTCAGGACTGGCATCTGGAGGACATGAGAAGTGGTGCTCTGTTGCTGGTTTGCTAGTGCCGTACCCGCAGTTGTGTGGAGTAGGACGTTTGACAACCCGCTCAGTACTGCTTTTATCTTAACATATATCTATTGCTACTGTGTGTACATGTTTGAACGGATCATTTCCTTCAGGTCATTTCCATCAGGTGCGTAGTTACGAGCGCAATGTCGCTGTGTCAGTGCTATTTGCTCGCCTGACTGAGTTCTCCTCGCAGCCGGACTGTCCCGACAATGGCAGCTTGCCTGCCTGGGACCTGCTCAGTAATCAGCACGTCGCCTGGTCGTATCCTGGCCATGGGGAGATGTCCATGGGGAACACAGATCCAGAGCACATAAGGTGAAGCAATGTCTGCCTGAGTTCTTAAGGTGAAGCATGAATTGATGGGCTGAAGCGGAACATTTTGTCAGCTTCAATAATATACTTCACTGAGTCGGAGCATGTGGGACATAAGACAAGACATGGGGATACATGCCTCCTCACTAGCTTAGTGTCCAATCGTGCTACACTGATGTTACATCTTGCGTATTTATTGTGTATGCCCAAGCCTAACACAACATGTGCGGTGGAGCTCTGCTAGTACGTAACCTGATAGGACGTACTCTTGCTTAGCATGGGCATTGTCCAGAGCACGCCGCCGGGTGTACTGATCCATGCTGAAGTATTGTTCGCATGAGAAGCACACTGTATCTCGGATAGTAAGTGTACTTTCCTGCTACCATGAGGTATATCGTATCTGGGTTCAAAGGATGCTGTATGTGGAACGAGGGGCAAGATCTGCCAGCATTATGCCTTGCTCCCAGATGATTTCAACCTATCCAGGTCTCAGTGCAGAGCATGTGAATGTGTGGCTGTTCGCATTTTCCTGCATGCTGTTCCATTCTGTATTTGCACTTGCATGGTCTCATTGACACCAGTATATCGCTGCTGTGTGTACTGCAGAGAGCTGCTTCTGCATGCGTCGCAGGAATCTGGAAAGGGGTATATCGACAAGCAGCTTTTCATGGAAGAGTTGTGCTCGGTGAGTGTGTTCAAGTGAAAAACACTCCACATCTCAATGTCTGTAATCTGCGAGTTGCCTGTCGTGAGTAGGACTGACCAAAAGCCTAGTGATGGGGAAGTGAAGGTTCAACCCAATCTATACATCATGTCAACTTGGAAATGGCCTGCCGGATGTTACTATCTTGGGCAGCATCCAGGAGTAGACATTGCATCTCCTAGAAAGATAGCAAGGAGCGTATCCGACCATGTTCTGGCATGTTGTCCGGAGCCTGACTTGTCAGCGTGGCAGCAAGCGCAACACAAACCTGGGCCCTCGGGGTCGGTCATGCAGTGTTGTGTACCGGCACCTGTCTGCCTGTGTTCGTAGTGTCAGATGCCGCCTTAGCCTCTCCCCTTTTTTTGGGGGGGGGGGGGATTCAAGTGACCAGATTCTGGCAGTGAGCAAGTACAAGTAAAGTCCTTGACCACTCTTGGCTATCTACTCTTAGTACTACAGTGAAGGCTATTTAAGTGAGGCAACCACTCAAGGGACCTTCCCAATGTGGCCTCTGTGTACAGGTGGCCACCTGATGCAGGGTCAGTTGACTGGAAATGTGACATCCTTTGTCCCTGGTTGTACTGGTCCTCTAGGACAAGTCGTATTCTTATCAGAGTGGTCGCCTTGACAGGTTTTACCGTATGTATGGCAAGGCTGTATTGAGTAACAGGAGCGACATGATTCTTCACAGTGAGTTGGACGTTACAGTCCAGTTGCCAGCCGGGGGGGGGGGGGGGAGTCCCTAATTATTATTATCAATATTCATAGCGTACATCTACAAAAGACGTCAGTAGCCTGCGCCCCTGTTCACATAATCTACATCGGTACGTGGTGTGCTGGTGGGCTGGAGCTTTGGTTTCACAAATGCCGGTGCTTATAGTAATTGATTGGCTTGTCAGGAGTTTGTATTTTTCAAGTGCTTGTGTCACTCACTTGTCATTGCTGTGCTGTGGAATGTGATGCATTGTCTTTCAAAATGTGAGAACCCAATCCGGACCAAATTTGGAAATGTCGAGGAAGGTCGGCTGGCCAATTCTCACCTTTCCTGTTGCTTATCTCTATGCTCCTACCGGGGCCATTAGCTTGGTATGACCTCCCTCTCTGGGGTCACGTCGAAATATGTCTCGCATTGTCGTTTGAATAGCCCCCCTCCCCCCCCCCCCCCCCCTCCCAGCTGTTCTGATAACACCGAGAAGTATTAGTGATTATTGGTGATTGTGATGGATACCACTGAGTTACATGTGCTTGAGAAATATACCTGTACTGGTGCGGGGAAGGACCTAGCTACCTTTAGGGTGTAGAGCAGCAGTAGGTCACTTAGTAAGTCACCGCCACCACCATCTGTCCTTGGAGACCCCGAGTATCTCACATCTCATACTCGGCCTCACCGGAACATGATTATTTGGACCCGGTGTGTGGAAGCTCAGTATGAGAAGGACTACTAGTACCTCTGTATAAATGCTGGGGCCTGGTGCAGCGATATTCAGTGTTCATCAAGATAGTTTTCAGGTGCTCCAGTGAATGGAAATGCCAATACCCATTGAAATCCATGTAGGTGTATGTGTGTGTGTGTGTGTGTGTGTGTGTGTGTGTGTGTGTGTGTGTGTGTGTGTGTGTGTGTGTGTGTGTGTGTGTGTGTGTGTGTGTGTATGTGTATGTGTGTGTGTGTGTGTGTGTGTGTGTGTGTGTGTGTGTGTGTGTGTGTGTGTGTGTGTGTGTGTGTCATAAAGTGCTTATCTTATAGGTAATCTAGTCTAGGGTATGGAGCATGGTTGATTTGTACCGGGTGTTTCTATGTCTGCAGGCCAAAGAGCTTCCCAAGAGACCTCCTGGCCAGACCTATGGGCCGGATTTTGAGCAGGTATGTCCTATCCGTAATTCTATTTTAGTTTACAGACCTGTGAGTGATGCATATAATTATAGCACTAAGTTGTCTAATCAATCCCCCTCGGATGCACTTTCAACACATAGCTTTCCAGTGCCATGGGCTGAAGGATAACGAGGCAGGTACCATGTCCTATTTTTGACAATTGATAATACTTAACCCTTTGGAACTGCACTGATCACACGACGTCGGGAGATAGCTGCAATTGCAAGTATATTCGTTCCAATTTCCATCATAACGCTGGTTCTACTTCACCGATTTTGACGATCTTGGGCTCGTTGGAAAGCTCTTGGAACGAGGATAACAGTGAGCCCAAACTCATTCAGGAGAGCGATTGCTGTCTGCTATTGAATGCCAGGAACGCCAGCTGAATACCAAATCCAAACCGGGAATAGTCCTTGTCTCGCCATTTCACTCGTGCTAGCTCAAAATCATTCAAATTTTTTCTAACAGACTCACAAAAGCCGTGACAAAAAGCGCTGGGAGTGATGTCACACGCTGCGTGGGCAGGAAGAGGGAAAATCCCACTTTTGAACGAAATTTGCACTTCGCTGACGCATGAGAAATCGAGCGAACGTTCGAGCACTTGCCGCTCTGTTATACTAGCTTGTATCGACCCCGGAGTTTTTCGAGCCGACAGCTTCGATTCTCTGCTACCTCGTAGGTATTTCGATTGTTGAATTAGGTTGAGATTTGACTTAGTTGTGACTCATTGAGTGCACTTGCCATTCTACTACTGTATGTACAAACCATCACTACCGTGTACTATGAGTGCTAGTACTGCCGTGGACATGGAAATCCAGTCGATTGACCGGTGCCGGCACCCTCAACACATACAGAACGTTACGTACATGTAGCTCGTTGTCAGTGCACAATCATGTTGATCATGTTGATCATGTTGATCCGACGCGACCAGCGGGCTGCATGCATGTGTGTACTGCTTACCTACGGCTGCATGGCCAGCGCCTTGGGGCTGCTAGACGTGCGACCGGATTTCCATGTCCACGACAGTACGAGAGAACATCATAAAACATGTGTCTAGTGTAGACTGTGGTGCTACCGGTAGTACTACATGTACTATGATGTAGTACTGCATTGTACTCACGGATCACCAGTGCACTACTAATGTCTCAACGGATTAGCGACTTGAAACTTTAGCGAAAATGAGGCGATCGTTAAATTCGCTAGGGTTTTTACGTCGCTAAAATTACCCGTTCTACAGTATATTGGAGAAGCACGTGCCCAGTCAATTCCATCCCTGAGCCGTGCCTGGATGTGCATACGAACCTGCATGGAAATACCGAATGTCTTAAAGGGGAAGTTAAGGCAAAAATTAAAATTTCACCAGTTGTAGTCTTCGGGGTGCTGAGTCGAATGGTCTTGGTCCGAGAAAGCTGAGACGCTCCCTTCCTACTTGAATCCCAATCGAACTCGCGCACTTCCACCGAAACTGGGTGACTGCGCCCTACTAGATGGGGATTTGTATGCAAAATGTCACTAAAAGCGCCATTTCGTTCTTATAAAAGCACGGATGACCGCGATTGGCCCATATGTTGTAGTCTTTTGGACGCTGAGTCGACTGGTTTTGGTCCGAAAAGGCTGCGATGCAGCGTTCCTCCTTTATTCCCAATCGAACATGGTTGAACAAGCGGTCACGTGCTCCTGGGTGCCCAAATCACCTGGTCACCACGCCAGCAGGCGACAACTTTCACACCAAGGTTCAACTCGAGTTCAACTCGAGTGACAGGACTGCACCCAAAAAAGGTCAAACAGGCTAGTAAGTTGTACCCTGCAGGCACGGTGACCAGGTGACTCGCGTACGCAGGAGCACGTGACCGCTTGTTCAATCATGTTCGATTGGGAATATAGGAGGAACGCTGCATCGCAGCCTTTTCGGACCAAAACCAATCGACTCAGCGTCCAAAAGACTACAACATATGGGCCAATCGCGGTCATCCATGCTTTTATAAGAACGAAATGGCGCTTTTGGTGACATTTTGCATACAAATCCCCATCTAGTAGGGCGCAGTCACCCAGTTTCGGTGGAAGTGCGCGAGTTCGATTGGGATTCAAGTAGGAAGGGAGCGTCTCAGCTTCCTCGGACCACGACCATTCGACTCAGCACCCCGAAGACTACAACTGGTGAAATTTTAATTTTTGCCTTAACTTCCCCTTTAACAGTCTATGAAGACAGGCTTTCTCTCTGCACTGGCCGGGCCCGGCGTGGTCACTCTACACACGCCTCGCTGCCGTGAAACCCGAGTCATTCCGCGTTAAGTTTGCATCTGTGTGTTCTACTGTCTATACTGCTCAGTGTTGGACATTAGTGGATCCTGATGAAGATGGCAAGGTGACAGCGGATGAGATCAGCAGCATGGCAGATGCCACACTCAAGCAGCTGACCGTATTCCTGGAACAGGACCCTGCCAACATGCCCGACTATGAATACTATAGCTTGAGTCACGAGGCTGTAAGGTGAGACTGATGTTGGGACACATGGCACTCGGTCTCCAGGAGGGTAATGTTTAACCCTGCCAAATCACGATGGCATGAACAAGCCTATAATTGAGAACTCCACTGATTCTGTTAGTGGTATATAATTATAACAGTTAACATACACTCAGCCCTCTCCTATTCGGACACCTTGGGACTGAGGCATGTTGAAGATGACATTGTACATTTTGATGCATCATATTGGGGGTTACTGCCTGCACAAAGCTGTGAATAGCAGAGGTGAACGGATGTACGGGTAGTTATAGTGGGTAACAAACCACTCAACTCACTTAAACTTGTGATAGGTGGCCTGAACTGTGAGGATTGCTACAAACGGTTTTTAAAAGTTGGACTATTCAACATTGTCAACACTAACCAGTTGGGGCCATGGTATAAACCGAAACAAGGTCAAATTCCCTTCACTGTTATTTTGTTAAAAAGTCTATTCCACATGTAGGGTACACATGGTATCAGTGTCCTGCAGAGCTGGACAAACATCTCAGCTTAAAAGACTGCATGTCACATGACAACGACTGAGGCATTTTTGTCTGGCTTTCACTGTATCTTCCAGAGCGTTCGTAGGAACAGTTCTGCGACGGAAAAAATCAGTGTCGGAGAAGGACTTCATCGCAGAATACTCTTTGGTAAGACATGATTGTGGAAGTTTATGATGAAAACGTCCGCATTGGGTAATGAAAATGTTCTGATGTGGCAGCGGGGAGGCAACGGAGACTACATTGTGTCTCTGAGTGTCTGCGTTGTCCAAGACCACCAAGCAGCTGCTGGTAGTACTTCAAAACTAGGAGATTCTGAATATTACTGTGGCATGGCGTGGGTATGCAGGGGTGAATGTTGCCTGCTTCGGATTCATGGTGCACCACCTGTCTGATAATAGCCAACATAAAGGCTTCTTCTCTCTGCTGCATGAACAAGCTCAGCATGTCTGTGTACTGAACACTGTTTGGGCCTTTGGGTACCCGCTTACTTTTTGGTGACGCCATGTCCATGACCCAGCATATGTGTGTATGTGCACGACCTGATTGTGTGTGCGTGTGTGTGTGTGTGTGTGTGTGTGTGTGTGTGTGTGTGTGTGTGTGTGTGTGTGTGTGTGTGTGTGTGTGTGTGTGTGTGTGTGTGTGTGCTGTACTGTAATCTGGCGTTCTTGTACCGTGCCGTGGATAGAGACTAGACGGATCTGAAGTCTTTGGAAGAAAGGTAAGCCCAGCACTTGCAGTAGAATGATTGTAACAGTGCAGTGACCATTCACCGTGTTATCTAGTACTGGTTTCTTTTGCTGTAAGAATTCATTTACCTTGAATTCTGTATACAAGTATAATGCATTCTACTTGTTACAATGCAATGTGAGCGAGATAATAGCCTCATTCTAGAATAGTAAGTGCATGGCAGGTCGAGCCTGATGGCTTGTTAGTGTCGTCCATGTTATTAGCCTCCCCCGCCCCGGGCCTATGGTCCTCAGCCTAACCTGTCGGGAACTAAAAGGGCATAAGGCCCGACCTGCCATGAAACTAACCTGTCACGATTTGATATAACTAGTCCGCATGTGGGAGTTGGTCAAGAGCTTCCTTTCCACTGTTCATGTGGCTGACTGTATACAGCAAAACCTGTACTGGCGACCACTCGGATATGGCGACCACTCGACCTTGGTGACCACTTTTCCTTGTCACCGACGCATTCACATTCAAAACAGCTCGGATAAGGCGACCACTCGTTCAACGCGACCAACGACCACCCATATACATGTACGCAGTGCGCTGTGCACCACACACGGTAGATCTACACATCAGCGCAGGAAGTGTAGATGTACATGGTGCATGCACGGCACTTGACAGGTCCGAGGCCCCTATGCACATGAGTCGTGATAGTAGCATAGGTGTGTGCCACTGAGTACACTTGATGCACTGATCAAAAATTAATGATATATCGCATGTACTTCAGTCGAAGTACATGTATAGTGAATATGTTCACGTGACCCACTGAACCTGGATGAGAAGACCACCTGGCCAAGGTGACCACTTTTCTCGTCCCTTGAGTGGTCGCCTTAGACAGGTGTCACTGTTCTTTGTCTGGATGTACGTATGTGTAGTTGTTTGCCAGACTCGACAGTACGGGGCGTGGTTACTTGACCGAGGAGGACATTCCAAGTAGCAGCAGCAACGTATTTGATGAGTACTACCGCGACTATGGCAAGGAGGACATGGCCAACAGACAGTTTGAGAAGGTAAGTAGATGTACTTCCATGTACAGTGTGTGTATCTGCTTGTCTAGGAAAATTAGCTTGAATGTATTTTTTAACACAACTGCGCGCATGCACTGTATTACCATTTTTCTTGTACACCTTCTTTGGCTTTTTCCTGAACTCTTCCTCGTAAACGCAAGAAGAAACCGCCCCTCTGTCTCAGTTGTATGAGAGGGAGAGAATCGGAGAAGGCCATCATAATTCTTCACACACTGTCCTTCCTCTTAGCCATGAAATAATTGGCTCGCCGTCCGAGTTCGAAACTGCTGAAATGCGGCTGCGGTAGATACCCGATCCGCTAGGTCGATCTGTGATTTCAGTGCCTCTTTTCACTAATCCTGCGGTGGGTACTTTGTACGTTTTCTGGTGTCATGTTTTCACAGGTTCTCCGGCCAGAGTTAGAGCCGGAAGATATTGAGGTACCCCATAATATACCACGTGACGAATCAGAACCAGATGACGGTGATGACGATGATGCTGATGATGACGACGGTGCGAGCCCTTTAGAGGAGGACAGTGAAGTGCGTTTTCAGTCAACAGCATCGAGAACCGAACTATAACGAGTCCTTCCTTGGATGTGGTAGGAGAATATCACGGTGGCCCTCAATGGACGACAGCATGTGTTTGGTGAGCAGCTGATGATGTGCGTACATGTATACGGATACTCCGATTCCCCACTCGACGCGTGTCAGCGTTTTGGAGATGTCTTGCCGGCGCCTGTAAAGAAATCTCCCAAACCAGATTTAACACTGCCACTTAAAAGTCATTATAAAATGCTACCTGCGGTTTGGAATACCGTTGCTATTGTTATATCAAGGTATCGTCAAGATTATCTACTTGGGATCTATTTCAGTACTTTGGTACCTCCCCGGTTCAAACAAAAAAATTCTATTGGGATGTTGTACTACAAGTTCCGACAGTTCCCAGATAATGTGTACGACATTCTATTGTTTTGAAAGAAGAATCTGATGTGATATGGTGAATCTTATTGTTTTGACAGCCATCAGATGGTCACAAATTTCAATAATATTATGCTATCTCGTATGTGCATGTATGTGCGTGCATGTGTGTACACTGTATAGAAATCTGAGCGTAATGTGCATCTGTAGGAGTTGCATTTTGATATAAAGTAAATTTGTCAGAGGTGCCAAGTCACTCTCCCGGATTTCCAGGTTGGAGATCTCGCGGATGTTTGATGTTTTGAAGCCTATCTCTATCTCCCCGACACATACGATGTAATACAGATTACAGACCCATAGCATAGGAGGCTGCCAAACTCGCTGAGCCCCACGCTCCCTACTTAGTGTCCAGTGTGCCATCATACATGCATACCTGAGCCATTAGACATGTATACCTGAGCCATCATACATGTATACCTGAGCTGTGCACCATGCTCTCCTGTGCATGGCTAAAGTGTCACCCGTGACTTGATACTGGAGGTATCTGACTTCCTGCTGGCAACCCAACCATAGGTCTGGCCGGGAAGAACTTCTGGTCGTAGAACAATTGAAGTAGAATGCACAGGTCTGGTGGCAACTGAAATCCAGCCTTGTGGGTATAACAGTTGAGTGGGCTGCGTAGCCGAGCAATAGGGCCGTGCAGTGAATGAGAGTTTCCTGTACTCATTACTCATTGGGCTGGATTTAATTTACCGCCACCATGTAGCTGGCTGGTCTCGTGTTCCTAGGTGTGTGTGTGCGTGTGTGTGTGTGTGTGTGTGTGTGTGTGTGTGTGTGTGTGTGTGTGTGTGTGTGTGTGTGTGTGTGTGTGTGTGTGTGTGTGTTCTCTCCAAACCAGTGAATCAATGCGGTTATGCTGTAGTGTATGTCGATGACAATGAGCACATCGTAATTACGGGTCACGGTAGTACTGAGTCCGTTGTAACATCACGAACTGAATATGTAGTAGTTTGAGGGAGTTGCCAACTATTTTTGAATAAGGTGCATTTTGGGTTGCAATGAACTACCATCAATTCACACGAGTCATGTACTGTGCAGCCGGTCATGCGTATGCCTAAAAAAAAACACAAAAAAGGCACAAAGGAGGTTTACAGAGTTCGTCTCAACTCCGAGTTTCTTGCACAATGCAATCAGCAGGCGACAGTCACACCTTCAAAATTACACAGGTTGATCAATGTGGAGTTACATTGTATACACAACTTCCTGGATTACATTGCATGCGCTCGACTGTGCTGTACAGTCAGAATAAATGGACTTCAAGTTGGAGGGTGGAAACATGGTCTTGGCTGCTTTAATTCAACTTGAAAAATCCGACCACCAAATTCGTAAAAAATATGTGCTTGGATATGCCCATCCGTACATCTACATGTACATGACATTTTAGTATTGTACAGACCCACACTGGCTGTGTAAAATTTAGTGTTGTAGCTCTACTTTGTCTTTGAGCTGATAGCTGCTCTACTTTGAGCTAGCCTCATGGTCATTGAAAGCGAATCATGTCCCTGTTGTTGTTGTTGCTGTTGTTGTTTTTTCAAGTTATTTGAATTCGCAATACCAAATGGGCAATAAGCCCAATTACATGGAAGCGAATAAAAGAATGCTAAGAATGAGGCATTGGGGTGGACATTATTTCAAGTGGAAATACTGATCCCGGGAGGTACATGTACTACAAATAGGTACAATGAAAATCTGAAAAGGCCATGGTACTGTCGTTTACCATGCTGGAAGCAGCTACATGTAGAAGGAAAAACAACAAGAAAGACGTTTTATCTCATGTATTGGACAAACAGAGCTAGCAGGAAAAGACCGTTCGTTATAATTACGCCGATACATACTGTCCGTGTGTGTGTGGGGGGGGGGGGGGGGGGGGGGTGCATGTCGCTGTTTCTCTTCTTTAAAAACGTTTATGGCCTGAGAGTGTACGGGTACACGGCTGCTGCGAAATCGGCCACGGCTTTGCAGGAACGTACACTGGCTGTCTCTCTCTCTCTCTCTCTCTCTCTCTCTCTCTCTCTCTCTCTCTCTCTCTCTCTCTCTCTCTCTCTCTCTCTCTCTCTCTCTCTCTCTCTCTCTCTCTCTCTCTCTCTCTCTCTCTCTCTCTCTCTCTCTCTCTCTCTCTCTCTCTCTCTCTCTCTCTCTCTCTCTCTCCTTCTCTTTGCCCGGCGGATTTGTCCCGCCTGAGTCTGTGTCCTCAAAATCATGGTCTAACAAACCTTTTGTGAAAGGTTCTGCTTGAATTGCCATTCTCTCAGAAGAGGTTTTTTAAACTGATATTAATTTAAATACCAAACAATATCCTTGGAAAGTTTCAAAGGCTTCCCAGGGTTAAAATGATCTGTGCGTGTTCCTCTATTAGTATTACCATGATTACTATAAAGACATTAGTATAATTATTAGTTTGAGGGAGGTGAGGCTGAAATGGAGGGGGGGGGGGGGCATGAAACTTTCCGTGTTTCTGTTGGTGTGCATGTTGTGTGCATATGGCCAAACACTGTTGACTGTTACATGTTGTGTAGGTCTACATAATTGTACATGACTGCAGTTACTTGCTGACAGAGATAACTGTGATAACCGTGTTTGTCCATTTTGATCTACACGTACGTCGTGTTGACACTCAGACTCTACTCTTTTGTAGTGTAGACTAGTACAAGGCTTATCTAATACTGGTTTTGAACCAGTACATGATAATAGGGTATAATTATAATACTAGTGCATGCACTACATGTATACACTACAGACTACAACTACAAGCACAACATAGTCATTACTACTCTACTGTACTCTGTAGCATGACAAAATAATTGCAGATAGAGATAGATAGCTAGCTGCAGCTAGCTAGCTCCAGCCTGCGACAGTGCAGAGTCCACCACGCGTGCACGCGTAGATCTACTGTCGTAGACTCTACTGAGTCTACTCTAGTAGTAGATCTACGATCGATTGTTAGACGACATTGTAGAGTGCAGGCACACAGCTTCATATCATTCGCTTTGTCCTACACTCGAAGTCGACTCGTAGATCTATCAAGACTTGCCACTGACTTGGTAGACACAGTCACGATCACACACACACACAAACACACAAAAAAGATGCACATGACTGAGTCTGTAGCTGCGCTGAGTGTAGTCTTGTAGATCTGCACAGCTGATTGTAATGTATGATGACGAGTGGGACGAGATATCCATGCGATATGCAGCACTGCATGCACTGCATGCTCATCGGAGCGCGCGTGCAAAAGCACTCTTTGATCGACCTAAAAAACTTGAAAATGTACTGCAACCTACTGTCGAGAGTGTAGAGATTCCGATTGAAGTAAGTAAGTTTGACTACCAAAAGGTAGGGAGCCAGCAAGGAAAGGCGGTTCAGAGTAAATCTGTGGCGTTGCCTTGTGTTTCTTTGCCCGGCAGTAGGCAGCTGTGGAGAATCTAAGCACCAGAACGTGCCAGCTGCGATCAGGATCTTCTTAGACGGCCAGGTCAATGTGGTGATGGCTGTGACCTCATGGAGGTGAATCAGTTGATCCCGAGTAGAGTGCCTGTGTCTTTTCAACAGTCAGTGAAGCCCTATCGATAGAACAGCAAAATGGCTAGCAGAGGGCATCTCCTTGGAGATAAGACAACAAACACAGGCACTGGCAGCAACTCGTCCCTCACCCGTAATGCTCCAGGCCGGCAAAGTCTTCGAAAGAGGATTTGGAAATCCATCCGTCCACGCAGGACCTCTCCATCGAGAGGTGAGGATACGAACGGTGGAATTCCTAAGAGTAAGAGTCCCAAAAGACAACAGTACAGTCCAGGCGGTACTGATTCTGCAAGTGGCTCATTTTTCCGATCCAGGAGTGAGTCTACATCGCCTCGATCAGCAGCACCGTCTGATTATCGTCTCTTCACGAATCAAAAAAGTAAAACTGCCAGTTTGGATCGAGTCTCGGCCAGGACATTACCCACTGACGAGAAGTATCACCAACGAGACCCGTCAGTTGCCGACACAGAGCCCTTGCCTGCTAGGAAGCTGACCCGGAGCAGGAGCTTGCGAGAACGCACTGGCAGAATGCTCAGCGCCGTCAGGCGAGGAGGTCGAGTGGATCTTCACAGACGTGGTAATGCAGAACAAGACTCTGTCAGTCCTAGCAAGAGACAAGGCATTGATGATGCCGATGTTCATTGTGGCGGAGATGTCGCGGATGGCCAGCACGCGCAACTAAATGGACTCCAAGCATCGGGCGACCTAGCCAAAGTGAATTCTTTGCCTGAGACATGTCCATCTATAGTAGTAGTGCCTGGCCAGGCCAGCAGTAAGACGGAAAGGAAGTCACTCACATTGGTTGATACGCAGCCACCAGCTACGGCACTGTTGCATCCTATGGATTTGGAGCGGATAGCTGATTCGGGCGAGGACAAGTTCAATAGTTCCTTCTTTGTGGACGACCAAGGCAGCAGCGACAGTGCAAAGATGAACAGCTCTGTGTCACTTGTGCCCTCGCGCTCAGCATCTACGTCCGAATCGCTTGTCCATTCGCCAAGCACTGTGGCAATGAGGCAAACGTCGAACGGCGCACATGGTGTGACTGGATTTATTTCGAAGAAGTGGAGAAGCAAACTGAAGCTGTCAGGCAGCGGTGTGCCACCATCTCTTGTTCTCTGGTCTCCGGCTAAGGTGAGGCAATGTGCTCTTCATGTTTCGTGCTCGTGTCAGGATGTCCGTGAAATTGGCGTTGGTGTACTTCTTGTGTTCTCAGCAGATTTCGGTGCTTTCGCATTTTCGTTCTCTGCTGGCAACTCACGTTATTTTTGTAACTTGTACAAGTACAAGTCACTCAAGGGAAATAATTAGTTGTGCGTAGCCTTCTAGGTATGCTTGTTGTTTTGTCGAATCAATGGAAATGGTGTTACGTGGTGTGACGGTGTGACAAGCTTCTGGCCACTGGACATCTTGCTGCCGTACAAAGTAACATCAGTTGTCAACGGCAGCAACTCACTGCTGTACTCTACTGAGTCGGGAATAGTGGACGTTGACAGCAGTCGACGGTGGTTACCTGAGTGTCATCAGCTGTTCTCTGAAGGTCCATCGCAGTGTGGGGGAGTAGGAGTGTCTTGACCTTGACCGCTGAAACCGCTCGATCTGTGGGAGCGTTGTGACTACTTGTTGTAGCAGTCCTGCTACTGACGGACTAGACGACTGTGAGCGTGAGCGCGCATGGATATCGAAATTGTAGGGCAAACGCAATGTAGTTGTTTTGTACCAACTAAAGTTAGTTTGCACTTTGTTGCGGATGGTGCTTTCTTGTCTCATAATCTTCTTCTTGTATGCTCGAAAAACTAGGTCGTGAAAAGGCGAGAGGTCTTGTTAGTCCATTGACTATCCAAGTATACTGATGGATTCGTTCGTTGGAGTCGATCATTTTTCCGGCCGGTGCGATCAAATTTCTAGGTGAAACTTATCGCCAGAGAATGTTTTTAAAAACGTTCACAGCAGCTAATGCTTCCCACTCGGAGCTTTGCTTTTTCGTGACTATCAGCATGCCGGTTTGAAGGGGAATTACAAATGTCCCTGACGACTTGTAAGCCATCGTGTCTTGAAAGTGAAAAGGGAAGTCGTTCTCTGAATTGCTTCCTTGCTGGGTCCGCTGAGTGCTTTGCCGATGTACAGTGTATTTGGTTGTTGTAAACTGTCGGAATCACGCTCTCCTGCACAGTGAACGACGTTGAATGGTGTTGGGGGCTGGTGTCAACACGGTTTCAAAAAGCCCTGAGCCACCTTATGCTGCATAATCCATCCGGTTGAACTGACTTGTACAACGACGTTACGTACTATCGTTGGTGATCTGTGTATGTAGCACGGTTCAACAGGAGGCGTATTCTCATACTCATAGTACTTCGTGTAGAAGACAACTCTCACTCAAACTCCAAGTCTGTAGCTTGTTTTTTAGTCCAACTGCCCCCTCCAGTCCACTTTGCTTTCCAGGGAGGTCTTGAGAGGCCACTGCTCCATAATCCAGAAGGCAATTACTGAATCATGTTATGAGACCTAGCTAGCTGTGGGCATTACTTGTGAGCAATTGTTATCTTGGTGTGACGATGTCATGACTGCTTGAGTGTGTGAGCTGGGCTTGACCACTGGACACCTAGATGGGAAGAATGATGGAGATGTAGGCTGACACCAGATTAGGCAGGTAGGCAGGATGGGTGGAGGAGAGTCTTGGGGTGTATGGAATGAGGAAAAATGGCTGTATTGTCTGAGGTCTGTGCTGATCTGTTGCACTCTGCTGATCATGGGATGTACATGAACTGTTACTTGGATGTGACTTGAATATGATTCACGTGACCTGGCTCTTCTTTGCTAGTCCGCAATGGGAAGGACAGGAACAAGGTCTGCCAGCCAGTGGCAGGCTGAAGTCTTTGATCCACCACTGTGGCACAGTACCTTCGCTGCCAGCTGCATGTTGTGTACTGGTATGTTATGTACTAGCCCAATCATGACAATAATGATGTCATGTTTTGTAGACAACAATGGGGAATGTAGGGCCCATGCTCATCATACTCATAACGTTATGCATAGACATACTAGCAGTCAGAGACGCCAGGCACCAACCGGGGTACCCCCCAATCTAAAACATGTATGTACAAGAAAAAGTCAGAATGTGATTCCCAGCAGAAGTAGTACATTATCAGCGTATAGGATAATGTCATTATGTCCACTCCCTACACGTACATTCTGCTTTGGTGATGGTATACTCGTACTCCATGTCCTGTCTGTGAACCAAGATGCCATGTGTTGCTCCATGACCACCGGCTAGCAATTGTACGCAATAAGTGTTTGCCTTGAATGGCTGCATACCAGTCCATTTCCCTACTCTGTCTTCTCACCTCTTCTTGGACGTGCCCGGGTGCAAAGTGGAGTGATCTAAAGGTATGAAGTGGACAAGAGGGGGGCTTATCCCGGCATATGAATCAAGATTCAAGGCAGGGAGAAGCTATGAAGTGGTCAATTACTGAAACTTCTGCTGTTGCTGCTGCCTGTTGTTGCCGGATATGTACACTTTGCAGCCGCCTTCCACCTTGTGTTTGTGGCATTGTAGTGGCCATCATGGTGACAGTACATGGACAGTATTACATAATTTTACACATACATGCACAAGTCATGTAACATGCACTTCCCAGTTCAGTTCTAGTTCAGTTCAGTTCAACATACATGTAATACCAGTATGAATAGAAAGTGCAGAGCAGATACAGGCTACGTGTACTACATGTACTGACACTACATAAAAATCAATTTCCCTGTTACCCGTGTGTACGTGATGGTACTGTTGTCTTATGGCTGTCCACATACTAGTACATTCATCTTTGCACTGTATGTACTAATCATTGTACATGTAATGTGGGTGTAGCAGTGTAGAGTATAGCAGACTACTAACCACTGCGGGTAACCCAGTGGTTATCCTTCCCCGCACCTGGTATTTGTGCTTGCGTAACTTGTATTATGTTTTGCGGGGTGTGTGTGTTTTGCTGTGGCAGGGTGAATGTGAATGGCAGTCGCTTAGTGGCCGTTCCCTGACGATGGTGGACACGGAGGTTTCAACACTGTCCGAACCCGAGCGCTACCTGCTGCAGAAAGTAGCCGTTGAAGAAGCAGATCATTACAATCTGGGAAGCATCGGCATTCCCAGAGAAGGTCAGTGTGGGAGCTGGGTGCTTTTCACCTGTACTCATGTTGCTGATAAGGCTTGGAGTATGTGTAGCGTCAGGCATATTTTGTTATTTTTGTATGAAGAGCACAGTTTAGATGCAAGCTGAACAACATTTGAACTACTTTCACAGGCTGTTTCCGATGATACACTTATGAATGAAATCCTTCTGCTGTGTGCTTTGGGCTTCAAAGATGGGCGTCAACCATTGAAGCGGGGCCTATCCTTCCGAAACCGCCCCAAGACTAGTGCGGTCGATTTAGTCGAAGGAAAAGGTGAGCGAAGATGTGCTCGAGCCGTGTCCCATGTGTTGCATATTTCTTGTGAAACATGTTGTTGCTGCTGCTGCTGCGGCAGCGGTGGTTGTGTGGTGGAGGCGGCGGTAGTAGTATTTTGTCGCCCATCATTGCTGTTGTAGCCCTTGTCGTTGTGAGTGTCGCATGTGGCATGCACAGGGTATCTACGACAAATGGAATCCTTCCCCTTACCATTGATCTGCACAGAAAATGTGACCTAAAATGAAGCGATGCTGAGAGAATGAAATTGTTGGTCGAGGTTTTCTGTATGTATATTGTGCCCTTCGTGTCAGGTGGGGCGTCAGCAACTGGAAGTGTATTTGGTATACCACTCTCCCAAGTCGTTCTGAACGACCTCACCATGAAGAAGCCACTGATGTCAGCATCGACGCCGCTCTCTGACAAAGTAAAAGGTATGGAATTCTGCACGTTTGCGTTGGTCGATGCCATCGTGCTTGGTTTGCATTGGTGCTATGACACAACAAAAGTCTACATAATCGCTACACTCGTTAGTCGTGTGCCTGTGCAACATCATTTAGACTAGCGTCAGCTTCAGTCAATTCAATTTGTCTTTTGTGGGGGTCTATAAGAAACTGGCCCCAATCCATCATGGTGGCCGGGCCAGATCCAGGAACTTTCTGATGATGCCTCACTCATGATTATGTGTATATGACTATTAGTGCTGAAACGATTATATCGATTACTCGTTACTTACTCGATAAGAAATAGATCGAACGGTTATTTCGATTTTATCGGCTAAACGAGTAGAATGGTACTCACGCTCGGCATGGGATTTCCCCCCTTTGGGGGTCGCACAAAGCGTGCATGCATCGAAAGTGTTGCGAGTACGACATGAATATGTACATGACTGTACACCATGTACACTTGCAACATCGATGTACGTGTAAAAGCACAAGCGCGATCTGTGAAACATCGACGCGATCATCGTCGCCGTCTTTTGAGCTGACTACGTAGATCTACTTTCCATACAGCATGCAGGACGAGCAGGCTCAGTACCGGTATGTGTCTACACCACTCACTAGCTGCAGGGGCTGGAGTTCCCTCCACGTGCGAGTAGTCTTGAGCTAAAGACAGTAAAGTGGTCTTCAGTTTCATGTTTTCCGTTCTGTCGACGGTTCCCGAACCAGTTTGCTCGACGACGAGCTAGGCCTGGCGTCTGGGCCTATTTTGAGCATAGACAGGAAAAGCAACTAGTTACTTGTTGGTGCGCCTCAAGTCAGCTCATCCGTCGAAATCCACCGGTCTGCACTCCTGGCCGGCTTCTCTGACTTCATCGTCTGAGTCAGCGAAGTCACAGGCGAAGGGCACCATCAGCACTTGGGTTGCAACCAGTGAGTTGCCTCTGTCTGGTCTGTATTCGTCTGGTCAGTCCGAACAGCTGACGGACTTGTTGCGGGATCATCGGATCTATGCGCCCGCTTTTCGTCGTTGGCGATGTTGGACTCGTAATTTTTTTGGAATTCACAGAATGTACACGTACCGATGTAGTTACAATAATAATCGTTTAGCCGATAAGCCGATCGTTATGGTATCAGCTAAGCCACTAAGGAAAAAACGTAATCGTTTCAGCACTAATGACTATATGTCTGTGCTGGATGTGAATGTGGTATTTTAAGGGAGTACTAACAGCTCAGGGGATGGAGAACATAGTCAACAGCCGTCTTTATCCAGCTCGTACGACTCTCTATCAGACCTGACACAGCTGTCGGAAGCTTCGGCAGTGAATAGTCCTGATGTAAGTAAAAAAAAGAATACAGTACTGTTGGGCGCCGAAGAACGGCCAGGCTAGAATTTCGGCAAGCACAGCATACCAATGTATACACGGTGACTCAACTGCCCATAGGCTGTAATACATGTAAATAAGAACGGTCTAGGCTAGGAGGCTGACCCCCATGTTCTTCGGCGCCGGACAGTACTGTATTGTCATTGATCCTAGAGTTCCCTCCGCCCCGTGGGTCTAATATTGCTTTCTGTACAAGTGTGTGTGCACGTGCATGCATGCTCGCATGTGTGTACACATGTCTGTGTGTTTGTGCATGAACACATGTGCATTTGCGTGCACGAGCGTGTGTATGTATGTGCGTGCATGCTGCATGCGTGTTTGCGTATATGTGTGCGTGCACACGTGCATACAGCTCGCTCCATAATGGTATCGTTTCTATGTTGCCCTATGTTGCCCTGCAGCAGGCACAGGTTCACAGGCGGTTCCCAACACCGCCGAATCATTCACCGGCAGATCTCGGTATCGCTCGTTCCGGTGCTCACCGTACAGTCTCACTGCCCATCAAGGGTGCCGCCGACAGCAAGGAAAGCATCTTCGCAAACCCGGGAGCAAGAGCGTCGTTCGTCACACACCCACAAATCCTGGAGCATGACATGGAGCCCTGCTTGCCCACGCGCACGTTTTCTGTCGGTATGGCCGCGGGCAATATTGGAAGCACTGCCAATCGCCCGCCGTACTTTGGCAGGAGGCTGCGTAGTCACGGACAGGTCACACCGCCACCAGACGTCGAGGAGGGCAACCGCCTGCAGGAGACAATGCACACGCCTCTGTCTGCCGTTGCCGACTCACAGGGCCGCTCGTACAGTGTAGACCGTCTTCTTGAAGCCTTGGTGCTGGACGCCACGCAATCAGAAGCAAGATCGCCACGCTTCACAAAGAAAGGAGAAGAGCAGCGACATTCAGCGGAAAAGATGACGCTAGAAGCGTTGCTGGCGCCAAGGCCTGCCCGAGTACCTGTTCTCGTGACTGCGGCAATAGACTTTATCACGAAATATGGTTAGTTTTTGGGCAGTCACACCACCAGCTTCTTCTCCTTAGTGTCATTGCTTTTTCGTTTCCAAGAAACTAGTTTTCATGCCAGTGTACATACTTTGAAGTACACACATTGCCACTAAAAAGTATGCATTTCTCTCTCTCTCTCTCTCTCTCTCTCTCTCTCTCTCTCAATGTAGTAACTAGTTAATGAAGTAGTGTCCTATCTTTGTCCGTTCTGTACACAGGTCTGAACAAGGTGGGACTATTACGCATGGAAGGTGCCAGGAAGCGGTGCCGACAGGTACGTACATATAGTTGCTCTAGATGAAGTCTGACCGAAAATGCAAAGCTGCCCGACTATGCCCTTTAATAAAGTCGCATTCCACCATGCACAACATCCGGCACGACATGTAGGTACTTCGAAGTGGTAGCTATTGGATGAACCATGCGGGGGTCCGTACGATACTGTGCCATAATTGCTAAAGTGTGGCTGTTTAAATAGGTGTTTTCTAATTTACTGTTTACTTGTCTGTGCTGTAGATGCAAGATGAATTCGATGCTGGCTTCGAAATTCAGTTTTCCAAGGATGATCACCACGTGCATGATGTTGCATTCCTGCTCAAGAACTTCTTCCGCGATTTGCCAGAGCCCCTGCTGACGAGGACTCTGTACCCAGCGTTCCTTGCCATCACTAGTAAGCCAATAGGCTCTTGAGTTTTGACACTGTGCAGAGATGGGAGATGTGGTGTTGTTCAATACCATGGCATGATCACGACAACCACCTGGTGTGTCCATACTGGATGTTAGACAATACACGTATTGTGGTCTCTGTTATGGAAGTTACTGAAGCATCTAAAAAATAATAATTGAAACGAAACACATTGAAATGGATGTTGATAATGATTTATCAAACCAGTGAAAGATCCTATCTGTTTTGGCTATGTGTCTGTTCTCGCAGAACTGGACAGCAAGGAGAGGCAGCTGCACGTAATACGTCTTCTTTGCTTCCTACTGCCAGCTGCCAACCGGGACACGCTGAGCGTGTTGTTGCAATTCCTCCACCTGGTGTCACAACACGCCGAGGACCGAGTGGGCGAAGATGGAGAAGAGGTATGGGTAGTACGAGACTAGGCAGCTACTCACTGGCGTTGTGTGCATCGCGATTCTCCACATGCCCTTCATTATTACTAGCAGCAATATGCATGTCTTGAATGTGCATGTCTGGACAGCAAAAAAAGAAGCGCGGGTGTTTATCTGCTTTTTGAGAAGCCTGTACTCTTGTGTAGCAGCACTGCAGTCACAAACTATTGCTGTATCACATGATCGCATGGGGATATTCTGCCAGTTCTACTTGCACTGCGAGGACAAACAGGAACAGTACGGTGGTCACACTTGTACCTGCACCCGTGAAGTACATGTAACCCCTTCGTTGTTTCAAATTATTAGTGTGTGTAATGGCTACTGAGGGTAGCCATGTGTCGGCTGAGAGGAGGAGAGATTGTTGCACTCTTGAACAGCCGAATGGTACCGTTCACAACTGTACTGATACTCTTGTGGTTGTTGCCGTTGCTTATTGTAGATTACGGGCAACAAGATGGACATCTCCAATTTAGCACTGCTCATGGGTCCGAATATTCTCCGACCCAACAAGGTACATTGTATGGATACGTTTGTCACATAGAACAGCGGGGTTCATGCGTTTTGTCGCTGCTCGCATACGGGGGTATTACACGGGTGATGGGAACGTTTCCAATTATCTTCAGCAGCCTGCCACAATTAGCAAAGGCCATGCAATTACGTGTACTGGTCACAAGCAACCTGCAATGAAAGTGGCTCATCATGAGGGAACGAGTGCTGTTGTCAGTGGTGGTGGTGGTGGCGGCGCAATGTTGAGCCAGAGTGCCACTGTGTGCAGGAGGATATACATGTCTTAGTCCATTGTAGATTGCTACACTGACTGCATTAGTGGCAAAGCTGGCCCATGGACCGATGCAGGCACCAATGCACTTACGTGACTATGTACTGCTGTTGTTGTTCTGTAATGTCACTCTGACAGGCAAAGTCCGGATATAACGTAGCCAAGCAACGCCATGAAAAGACAGACAGCAAGCGGCACTTCATAATGATGTTGATGATAGAGCACTATGATGTCATTTTCAAGGTATGTGCGACCATTGCCAAGAGTACATGTCTGTAATCAGAGTGTGCAACTCTGCGAGAGTTTGGGAATCCTCAGAACTGCGAGCTACGTCAATAGATAACAGACACGGATAACAGTGCAGAATCTCCCTTCGAATACTTGCATGTGTCACAGACATGTACATGCAGGCATGATGTGACCATTGAAAACACCCTGCCTTCGGCGTTGTTGTTGCTGCTGCTGCCAGTGGCAGTACCTTTCATCGCAGGCACGGGTGAAAATGATCTGTTGATTGTTGTGTTCGGTCACTATGTGATTGTGTGCAGGTAACAAAAGAACTACATCATCGTGTCATGCTTCTGCTGCAAGTCAAGGAGCCCAGCTATGTTGACTACCTGCTCAAGAAGAAATGTGTGGAGTTGGGGTAAGCATTGTATGTGTACATGATCTGTGCGAGTGGTGCAAGCCCACATACATATGTGCAGCTACTGTGGTACTACTCGAAGTAGTTACTAGTTTAATAGTTTTGCACAATAGAATACTAAGTCAGACTAGAAGTGAGAGTACTTGTATGGAGCCGCGCATCAGTGAGTGAATGTTGATGTGAGTCGTGCAATGACAGTAAGACATGTTTATGGCGACTGCTTATCCTCTTGCAGCTTGGACATATCAAAGGCAGAATTCATTGCCGAGGTCCGACTCGACAGGAAGAAGAGCAAGAGCAAGAGGGGGAGGACGGCAGCAGCAGCAGCAGCAGCAGCAGCAGCGGCGGCAGCAGCAGCAGCTGTTTCCAGTCTGGATAGAAGTGATGCCAGCGAATCAACCAGTCATGACGACTCTGCTGTTGGTGAAGATTACCAGCGGCATGTAAGCAGTGACAGAAGTAGTAGCACCGCCTACAATGCACATAAGCTACCTGTAGACACAGACGTGAATCAGCAGACTAGCAGCAGTCTACCCTCCTGTGTGCCACCATCACCTGACCTCAAGTACATGCCAAGCAGTGAGCATAGCAGTACTGATGTTACAATCAACTTAGAAGACGAGGAGTCTGAAACGCACAAGGACGTCGTCAACCACAACAATCACCGCAACAGTGGTAGCAGCAACAACAACAGGCACTCTAGTACTAGAGGCGGCGAACCCAGCATCCCGGCACCATCGACGCATTCAACAATACCCGATGATGCAATGCTGGGTTCCACTAAAGTACGTGCACCGTCCAGTGTGTCGCCACGCAGGGCGCCATACATCCGCCGGTCGGCCAGCGAGCGCTCTCGTAGTCACATGAACAGTGACGGAGGGAAGCGTTCCCTCCTCTCCTCAATCGGACGAATTCGGCGAAAACTGAGCGTAAATGAGAACGATCTATCCAAGCCCGGTGTGAATCGCTACCCATCATCTGATCTCATTGTTTCACCAGCTGCGACAGTTACAACATCATCGCCTGCAAACATGTCTCCCGCCTTATCCTCTGGAGAAGTGACACCCACGGTGCAGGCATCTCCTGGTGGTCACAGTAGTGGCTTTGGCCTCTCGAATTCTTCCGGTGGTGGCCTTGCGGAGATGGACAAAATCATATCAGATGAGAAGCCTGCTACTGCTGCCACCCCCTCATCCAACACCACTACTGCAGAGCATGAGGACGGTATGGCTGAGAACAAGCTCGCAGACGAAGAAAGCCAGCTGTCGAGTAGCGATAGCGATTCAGGCAGTGAGAGTGAAAGTGACGACGAGGAGCCTTCAGACAGAGCAGCAGAGCCATCGAGTCAAAAATCCAAACCTGCACTACATGTGAAAGAAAGTCACCCACTTTCAAGTCAAAACTTGAACAGAACGTCCTCCTCCCCCGAACTGCTCATCAAGAGACGACTGAGCAACAACAGACACTTGCGCAAAAAGGACGGTGGATCACAGTTTCTCACACTCCTGTGCTATTTTGAGGCATTGGCTGAGCAGAAGAGACAGCACGTTGAGAGAGAAACCGAGGCCAGGAGAGAGAAGACTCTGGCATCCGGCCTGGCCTCGCGCCGCAGTAGCCAGGTGCGGACTTTGCCATCTGGCAGGACAAGCACAGCAAGCATGGCCGACTCAGTGCGCACCTCTAGCTCTGGAATCGGCGGCAATGGAGCCACCACGCCATCTAGTGCGTCGTCCGGTCTGTGGCAGAGTCGCTCGGCCAGCTTCTCGGTGCGCACCAACAGCACCAGCAACACGGCACAGGTTTCACCAGTAGCCAGCAGTGGTTCTGTGCTGACCGCAGACAGTGGCTGCAGCGCATGCACCAGTGGCACCAGTCTAGATAGTAGTAACTTGGATCTGCCCAGCAGTCCCACGGCTGAATCACCGCACCTGGCCACCAAGTTTGCCAGCGCTGCGGATGCTCTCTCAGGCTATGTGCCGGGTCATGCTCTTCGTCGAGGATCTACACCAATCGAGCATGATGGTAGCAGTAGTAGCAGATTAACACCTGTCATGCGTATGCCATCACCAGCAATCGTTGGCATTGATGATGAGCCAGACGAGACAGCACTTTGAATAAAATTATTTGCGGGCAAACACACCTTACAAACTCGAATGATGGATGAAGAACACAAATTCTGACAGGTCTACTATTACCGATTCCAGGGATATCTCGCGTTTCGGGCTACGGTCACAATTTACGACTGCACTGGTCCTTATAACCATAGAAAATTATGTGTGTGTGTGTGTGTGTGTGTGTGTGTGTGCGCACGCATTACTTGATTACTATCAGTTTGATTCAATGTGAACTCTACTTTCTATTCTGCATCCTGATTCAGCTGTTGCCATTGTGTTCCTCTCTCTACTCGTCTCTTGATGGTTAGATCCCAAAACCTCCACAGGCATATCACAAACTAAGGTAGCATGCACCCTCTCCTTTCCAGCTACAGGCATATCCTCCAAATTACATTTGCAGATCAGCAATGAGATTATCTGATCACTAGTCAGAGGTTATGAGACACCCGCCCCGATGACTGTGCTAATGTGACAACAATATTTCCTGTCCGCCTTGATCAGCAGTCGATCTGAAGAAGACCTGCGTCCTCTTATAATTCTTGACTCTTTTCTCATGAAAATTTCTTATGAAACACAAGGCGGACTTGGATGGATTGTGTGTGTGTGTGTGTGTGTGTGTGTGTGTGTGTGTGTGTGTGTGTGTGTGTGTTTGCATGCATGTGGAGGGGGAGGTGCACAGTGGTGTAATATTGACATTTTGTACAAGTACCTTTTTCTAAACAAAATTATTTTCATGTACAGTAAAACCTGTAACTAAAGACCACCGTGACTGGCGACCAGCCTAGTACAGTAGGTATCGGTTATAGCGTGGGTGTTTGAAAAACGACTTTCTATTCTTATTTCCGATATTTCTTACACACGATAAATCAAGTGTGGCATATCATATCCATGTGCGCATGGGCAGGAAGATCATCGTACATGCAACGCAGTACTTTTGTGCATGTGGCTGGTCATAGTCCCATAGGCTTACCATGTGGCTATGCAACATGAGTTACATGACCACAACAGTTGAATCTGCAGCACTACGACGCAACGAGAGTCAGATCAGAACGGAAATGGACAGATGTAATTACTACAGGCGATACACTTTGTACTAATCTGGCATGTTTCGCGACACAAAGTCCATTCTTAGGACCGATATATTCTACTATGGGATAAAATTGCTTGTAAGAATAAACGTGCACTTGAAATCCATGTTATGATTATGAAAACATGAGCGTTCATTCTTGTAGGCAGTATATTCTTTTACACGACCACGCTATAACCGATACGCACTGTACCACAGACCACTTCGCCAGGGACGGACGGTCTCACATTCATATAATTATGGTTGTGCGGTGCAAACCTCTAACTAAGGACCGCTTTCTCTGGCCCCAAGGGGTGGTTGTTAGTCACAGGTTTTACTGTATGGAAAGCATGTGCATGATTCGGTTGAAGATCATATAGCTCATATATTGCCAACACCCTTTAATGAGCACCGGTCTCCTTCATCAATCAGAGTACATAACCCCCAAGAGTAGGGATATCAGCGAAAGCACTGCGCAGCGTGTTTGCGCATGTCTTACGTCATGCAGAAATCTATGAGGCGCGCACGGCCGACAAGAAAAATGGCGATCGCAGAAATCAGGTCGCGGATCAGTCCCAGGCCGGCAAGGAGAAAAAATTAAAATCGACACTCGACAAGAAGCCTGTTTGTTGGTTTGCTTGAGCTCGATTCATTCAGGAAAGGAGACATCAGGAGCTAATATTCTTCGGCGCCCATGCCTGGTAAACGTTCTCAAGCAAAGACATGACGAAGGAAGAAGACGTTCGTAGCTGGATGGAGCTATGTTTGCGACAAAGAACAGTACTTGTACTTGAACAGGCCACCTGGTGACCTCTGGTTGCGTCTGAAACTTACTTGTTGATTTTGCTCTAGCCACGCCAAGCAAGTTTCCAAGACTTGGGCTCCTACTCCCTTGTCTAGACAGCCATGACTAGAAACTACTTGGGCAAAGGTCCTCGACTCGAGAACAAGTAGTATTGTCACTGTCATTCAAAACTTAAAAAGCGCCATATGTGTGGTACATGGTGCCCAAGTAATCTTTCAACTATTTTCGCGCGAACGCCTCCGTGGATTTCCTCCAATCTTGGCACGTGTACTCCATATGGTCAGGCCAATTCAATGATGTCTTCAAAAGGGGACTTCCCTGGTTAGATCTTGCCAGGTACCAGCCGACGTTCTACGAAATCTAGCTGACGATCGACCATTTTTAAGCTGGAAGAAAGTGCCTCGGAAAACCTGTGGATGACGTCGAGAACAGTGTAATAAACGATGAATGTATTCGTAGTAACCTTTGTAGCCATCGTCCAGCGTCGTAGAGGGAAGCTTCAAAGTAGCTCGGCTATAGCTGGTCTTCTTCCTCAGACACTTCTTCGCCATTCCGTCCTTCTTTTCCATCCTGATTTACTTGCGAATTTTTTCGGGTGTGGATGGTCACGGCTTGTCGGCCGCGTTAGATGTGCAAGTGATCACCTGCGCAGTGCGTTCGCTGATATCCCTACTTGCCAAGAGTGTGCAAAAACCCACATACCCTGCTGTCCCGACAGAATTTCAAGTCGACGTCTGGGGTGCATGTACTCTTGCCCAAATGCATGCAGTCGACTCCACTTAAAACGAACCTGGATAATTTCGTGACATAGCAAACCATTGTCCATGTCCATATTTGAACCCCTACAAAATTGACCCTGTGTAACGAACTGTTTTCGTTTATAACGAACTATTAATTTTCTTGTAGGGCCGCATGATAACCAAGTGCACTCATACAGCCATGGGCCACATCCCGGTCGGAATGTGTTGTTTGTATGGTACGAGTGCATTTCTGTTAAAACGAAACGAACTTCGGTTGTAAAGAACTAACTCTCCTGCACACTGGTGTTGGATATACGGTAATCATGAGTCAACTGTATAGCTAGTAGATGTTCACACCATCATGTGGTGAGGTTGGAACCAAGTCTCAGCTCTGAGTTTCACGGTAATTACCTGCAGCTTATCTATTCACATCAGTGGCCGGCGACTGTTTTGCCCCAGCTGGGCTCATCAGTGCAGCCAAGAGAACTGAAGCATGTCTACTCGTAAAGGCTCACGTTTCCAACTTTGCATGTGACACAACACGGTTTAATTTTTTCATCAAAAAGCAATGGCACTACAGCGGGCGTACATGATCAGCTCTATTAAATAAGTTTGTGATGAGATTCTACAATAGCATTACTGGTTTCTGAAAAGTTCCATGTCTTCTTGCTCTTTCACAACGGTGATGAGGCGGTCAATTCCTGGCTGGTGCTTCAAGTCCTGAGAGCACACACGAAGCAAGAAGCCACAACCACACGCAAACCCGCAAATATGAACAAGACACTTATTATACACCAATATGCAGACTTTCACTCTGACAACGTGAACCAAGGAGCAATCGGAGCAAATATTAACTCGTGCCGGAAAGAGAAAGACGAATAAGTACCATTCACAGTAGTCACCACTACCGTAAAGTACCGTTGATCCGCCCCCTGTCGATTTTCTACCTGTGAAGCGACTTCGGCGTATACAACGAAAATACGATGTTGAACCGACGTGTGCACTGCTGTACACAATATTTGCCAATCCAGGATGAAAATGTGCACAATCCAGCACATCGAGTCTGAATTTCTACGTTGTTGTACATCGTACTGCACTTGATAGCCTTGATCTAATTCCCGCCCCCTGTGGAAAACCCAGCTGAGAAGCGACATGGCGTGGGGGGCGGATCAACAGTACTTTACGGTACATGCAGTCAGCCAATACACCAATGCTACAAAAGGCGGCTTGAAAATGCTACGTCACTAGACCAAAACACTGTGGAACCAGTGATGGGGGTATTTGTTGGAAGCGAGTTCACTTCTAGGTCACAAACTTTTCGTGGCACCTATGGAGATGCTCTTGTAAACCTCTTGAGAAGCCTGAAAAGGATTATAATAGATTGCCCCGAGATACCGAAAGAAATGAAAAAAGTGCTCAAGCACAGATAACGTGCGAGTAGACTGTGCATGGCAGCAGCCTGGTAAAACGTATGATATGTAAGGACTAATCGATCACATTCTAATGGACAACGCTTAGCTTCCATATCGCGTATATATTCAGTACCATAGTACATATCTCGTAGAGATGTTCGCATAGTATGCATGTGAACACAGCCAGTACAGTGAGGGCCTAGAGCACACGCCCTCTAATTACAGAGAAACCAGGCACCTAAATTTGGATTACCGTATTTCCCCAATTATACGTCGCACTCGATTGTAAGTTACTTCGAAGTACATGACCGACAGAGAACTGTCAGTATGCATAGCTGTGTGCAGATGTACTCTAAAAATCATGTACTCACATACAGCTTTCTCAAAGTAACTTGTCGCAGTTTCACCAGTGACTAAGGGGCTGTCCGAGGTTACCAATAATATTTTCAAAACGAAATGTTTTCGTTTGTGGGTGGGTGGGTTTGATGGTGTTTCGTTTGAAAATAATTATTGAATGCTGATTGAGAATGCCCAGTTACTTCTGGATGTCGAAAATTGACATCAATATTTTATTGGAATTCGTTTTACCTGCAGAAAAGGTGGGTGGGTGGGTGGGGGCTGAAAAACACTAAAACTTTTCGTTTTGTAAAAACAATCGATAACCCCGGACGGCCCCTAAAGTAGTCACTAAAATAGTTACGCCGTCAAAAAGTTCTCCAAATTTACTAAAATTTCCGTGCCAATGAAAGTTATCTTCTCTATAAGAGTTGAATGGTTGAAGGGCAAGATAACTTTCCATGTCTACAGAGTACATTGAAACGGGCTGTACGGACTGTCACAATTTATGGCCAGCTCTCTGATTTCAATGAACAAAAGCTACAGAATGCAGTTGAAATTCACAGCCGTCCGCTGCACTTCAACTGAATGCCCAGGCATTTGACATGCCGGTGACTTCCCTCTGGCATGACCATGCGCAAGCACAAAACCCGTGCTTAACTATCCTAAAATTTGCCCCTTTGCGCTATAAATCAACGGAAACAGTCGCTAACAAATTACAATGGAATACAGTACTGTAGCACTATACAGCCATTTTTCAAAGAGCTTGTAGGAAGCGTTCTGGTGCCTGCGGAGCGCTGAGCACCGTAGATCGATGGTAAGATTCCCAGGTTTCCTGAGGGCAGAGGATACTGAAAATCTGTTTATGGTGGAAGTAGCAATCAGCAGAATCAGCGAAGCGGACTTTGGACGTCCAATGTCCGCTTCGCTGATTCTGTTGATTGCTATATTGTCTCTGCGCCGCCTATTCGTATGGTGGAAGTGTTGTGATATTTTCGTGATCTATGTAAGCAGTGTATTATTATTATTATTATTTGAAACTCGGATGTTGAGCCATAAAATAATCAATGTAGAAGAGAAAAGGACATATGGATACGAGTTAAGAGTAACTCTCCATCACTGCAACATGATACTATATACAGTCAGAAAGTGCAATAACTAGGCACAAAACTGACAGAGTACTGAGACATTCGACGTCCTGACACCTAGCTTCAACACATCTCCGTAGTGCTAACCGACAGCCTTCCAACTTGGAAGGTTCAAGGTTATGGAAAGACCAAAGAGGGGAAGGCAAGCGCAACGAAAACGAGCAAAAGCTACAGTCCCAACGGAACAAAGAATGTCGATTGTTAATGGACAATGACGAGACCAGTACGATATTTGACAAAGCGGTCTAACTACAATTCGAAGCAGCAAAGCAGCACACCACCCAACTTGGGTGGGTCATACCCTCTTTGGTCTTTCCATAACCTTGAACCTTCCAAGTTGGAAGGCTGTCGGTTAGCACTACGGAGATGTGTTGAAGCTAGGTGTCAGGACGTCGAATGTCTCAGTACTCTGTCAGTTTTGTGCCTAGTTATTGCACTTTCTGACTGTATATAGTATCATGTTACAGTGATGGAGAGTTACTCTTAACTCGTATCCATATGTCCTTTTCTCTTCTACATTTATTATTTTATGGCTCAACATCCGAGTTTCAAATTGCACACCTGATGAGCCGTCACGAACCATACGGCGAAACGTACGTCGTGTGAAACAACTTGTTTTGTAGTCAACTAGTCCATCACAATGTCATGCATGAGGAGTACTGTAGGAGTTTGGCTTTCGGCTTGTACAATTCGTTTTCGCAAAGCTTCCCCTTCTTTACTTATCTTTGATATTTATGACCCACCCAAGTTGGGTGGTGTGCTGCTTTGCTGCTTCGAATTGTAGTTAGACCGCTTTGTCAAATATCGTACTGGTCTCGTCATCATCCAGTAACAATCGACATTCTTTGTTCCGTTGGGACTGTAGCTTTTGCTCGTTTTCGTTGCGCTTGCCTTCCCCTCTTTGGTCTTTCCATAACCTTGAACCTTCCAAGTTGGAAGGCTGTCGGTTAGCACTACGGAGATGTGTTGAAGCTAGGTGTCAGGACGTCGAATGTCTCAGTACTCTGTCAGTTTTGTGCCTAGTTATTGCACTTTCTGACTGTATATAGTATCATGTTACAGTGATGGAGAGTTACTCTTAACTCGTATCCATATGTCCTTTTCTCTTCTACATTTATTATTTTATGGCTCAACATCCGAGTTTCAAATTGCACACCTGATGAGCCGTCACGAACCATACGGCGAAACGTACGTCGTGTGAAACAACTTGTTTTGTAGTCAACTAGTCCATCACAATGTCATGCATGAGGAGTACTGTAGGAGTTTGGCTTTCGGCTTGTACAATTCGTTTTCGCAAAGCTTCCCCTTCCTTACTTATCTTTGATATTTATGACCCACCCAAGTTGGGTGGTGTGCTGCTTTGCTGCTTCGAATTGTAGTTAGACCGCTTTGTCAAATATCGTACTGGTCTCGTCATTGTCCAGTAACAATCGACATTCTTTGTTCCGTTGGGACTGTAGCTTTTGCTCGTTTTCGTTGCGCTTGCCTTCCCCTCTTTGGTCTTTCCATAACCTTGAACCTTCCAAGTTGGAAGGCTGTCGGTTAGCACTACGGAGATGTGTTGAAGCTAGGTGTCAGGACGTCGAATGTCTCAGTACTCTGTCAGTTCTGTGCCTAGTTATTGCACTTTCTGACTGTATATAGTATCATGTTACAGTGATGGAGAGTTACTCTTAACTCGTATCCATATGTCCTTTTCTCTTCTACATTTATTATTATTATTATTATTATTATTCAACGCAATAAATAGAGTAAGCTGCGCACTCAGTACAAACACCATAAGCAAAACTTGTTTTCATGTATAATAAATAAGCTTGTTCCTAAACGTTATGCCTGTTATGCCTGTTGAGGCACGGTCGTCAAGGCCTAGACGAGGTCGTCCCCCAAAGATTGGTACTGCGACTGGAGGTGCACCCTCGCTGGGGACGGAACCAACTGGGGTGTCGTTGTCTTCTTCGTCGGCATCGGCTTGTTCGTCATTGCCTTCGTCTTTACCGTCTCTTCCTTCTATCCCGTCATCATCGTTGGTATCTGCGGTTTCGTCTTTTTTGACTTCCTCTGTACCGTCATCCGGTGTGTCCACCTCCGGTGGCAAAAAGCGTGGCCGGCCACCGAAGAAACCACCGGATGGTGTGTCTGCGGGACCAGTGACTCGCTCTAGGGCGAGGTTAGCAGAGTCTTTATCGTCTCCGTCGTTGTCGTCATCGTCGTCGTCAGCGTCTTCCTCATCTCCCTCCTCCTCTTCATCAACATCAACAGCCATTGGAACGTCAAAGGGAGCATCATCGCAGCAGGCAGTGCCAGCAACGGACGTGCCTTTGGTACGGACATCTACATCGGCCTCGTCTGGATTGGCAGTAGCGGCAAGGAATGTCAGGTCGGTTTCATTGTCACGTAATTCCAAAGTATGTACTGGTTCTAGTAGCGTTGTTAGGGTGTATGAATCTTCTATCGCCAACCATCTTGTTCAGAATAGTGATTGTCGTTCTAGTTATGCTGATGATTGCTTTTCTGTTTGGTCTCGTTCACGTAGTCAAAGGTATTTGCGTGTATTGGAGTCTATTTACATTTTTACCACCAGGCCGATTTTGTGTAGGCAGAAAAAGAATTTGTTTACGTTGAAATTGTTTGTGAATTTAGATCAGTAGTTCTCGTTTGTGGTTGCTTGGTAACTTTCTAGTGGTGAATTTATCGCATTTGTTGTCACCTGATATCGTTGAATGGTGTAATGTTTCTTTCAGCTCTCATTTTATCGCGCTAGTTAGGGTCTAAATTATTACTTGCATTGTGCGTATATATATTGAGTTAAGAGCTTTTGTTGATTTGCCAGTAATCCTCTGATGAGATGGCGACGAAAACGTTTAGGAACAAGCTTATTTATTATACATGAAAACAAGTTTTGCTTATGGTGTTTGTACTGAGTGCGCAGCTTACTCTATTTATTGCGTTGATTACATTTTTATCTCCACGGAAGCTTTTTAATTATTATTATTATTTAACGTGTGGTAAGCTTTGGTCCTGCGGACACGGTTCTCTACACCACCTGGACAAACACCATTGTCCAGACAACGTCTAAGGAACACTACGTTCAACGCGACACTACGATAATGAAATCGTGACTTCAGCGCATGGTTCAGAATATCTATCTGAGTCTCACTCTGGCTATATCTCGACCTGAAGTATTTAAATATTCGACGAGGAGACAATAATTTTAATATGGCAATAAGTAGGATGATATAGCCAGACTCAGATAGATATCCTGAACCATGCGCTGAAGTCACGATTTCATTATCGTAGTGTCGCGTTGAATGTAGTGTTCCTTAGACGTTGTCTGGACAATGGTGTTTGTCCAGGTGGTGTAGAGAACCGTGTCCGCAGGACCAAAGCTTACCACACGTTAAACATTGAATGCGTATTCATGAAAGACGAGATTATTATTATTATTATACTATATCCAGCGCAGAATGCCACCCACAAATTTACTATGTTACAGTATGTGCCACAGAAATCAGGGGGGAAATTATTTATGCATTTACGAAAAATGGAGATTTATGGAAAAGGTAACAGTGAGAATACGATACCACTGCATGCACATGTCGTGATTTATAGCCTAAGAAAGCGAGACACATACCTGTTCGTTAGTGATCCAGGCATCAACCGGCAGAAAAGCTTTGTTCTGGTAACAGATCTGGGCTCTGTGACAACGGTAAGCTCTTTCAGATCTATCTTTCGCTGTCAGCCGGTTGAAAGCTTCTCTGTCCATTGGTGCACCAATAGTAGACCAAATGTCATCCGTATACAGACCTGAACCAGTACCAAATAACACTTGGTTACCACAATATCTTGATAGGATCACCACATTCCTCAACAATGAAATATCCTACCATATCTACGCATATCGTTGAATCTCGTTGGTTCCTTCAGTTTCAGAGTTTCCTTCAAGTTCTGTAGTGTTGAGAGGCCACCAGCAGCAATAGTTTCACGATGGCGCATCAGTGAGCGCAATGAGCGAGTCAGGGCGTAGAGCCTTGCTGACTTCACGAAGAAGCCCTGAGGAACTTTGTCCACCATGATTGCAAGTGTTCTTTCTCACAGATAGAAAACAAAAACACCTCAACAACCTGAACTGGCTGAAGCTAGCTTTCGAAGGATCGATCACCGACGAACTCTCGCAAAACTACAACTCGGCTTCGCAAGATCAAGCGCGGCGCATCATCCAGCCGGCGCGGCCATGCCGGCAATCCGTTGCCATGACATAAAAATACATGACATATCGGGCCGCGCGGCGCGGCGTCGATCGTCGAGTACGTAGTACTACGTAGTAGACCCGGGTGCTCGAATGAGACACAGGGTACCAAAACAGAAACACCCTGAAATTGTACCTAAACTTGTTCCGATTTCGTTTAGTTTTCACAAATACCATCAACATACGGCCCGCTAACGGTATGCCGAATTTCAGCGCTGCCCGGTAAACGCTTTTTGAAATACTGGCGACCCACTTTTTGCTGGGTCCTTGATTCGAGGATATGGGTCTCCTGTACGGTGCTGCCAAAGACCTGCTGAATCTGCGGCTCCACTGACCATCTTGCTCTCAAAAATGAAGTAGTAAGTTACTACTCCCTGCCCTCAACTGCCACACCAAGCGTAGACGATGGTAGATCCGTGTGCTTGAATCGGAGACGATCTGACGAGTTCGCTGTTTCTGATTCGAGCACCCAATTTTCAAATAAAAAATCCGAAGGAAATACGACAATTTTCCTGCGTACTGTAGCTTGTGTTGTAGCGCACCCAGGTTCTGAATTCCTGCCGGGTGGGTCAAGCCAGACTCTCTTCCCTGTTCCATCGCCTCTCCAAAAGTGTATTCTGACATTATTGAGATTTACAGATGAGAAATTCCACACCTGTCAAATCGTTTCTGATTCGAGCACCCGGGTCTACGTACCCTCGACTGCTCGAGTCGTCGACATCAGCAGTATTTTACGACTCCCTAGGGATACTGTTAGCAAGAGTACATAACCATGATAACCCCCCCTTGCAAAATAATTATACTGTAGCCTGGGCCATTACCATGATTACCATGATTACATGGCATTGGCGAGAAAGAGGGGCTAGGCTGGGGTCGTGTTTTTACGACTGGCCTACAAAATCCATGGATGGAAGCCAGAAAAATAATTATCATGACACGTGACATGTGATACCAAGAGTATAATCTCCCAGGGCCAGGGAGATTATACTCTTGATGATACTAGTAGATTTACATGATGTAGTGGCATGGCATGGCATCAAGACTCGACTCCCTAATCCGGGAGCTTATGTCAGTTATGAGCTATGCACTCGAGTCTTGATGGCATCAAGAGTCCATAATTCTTGATGGCATGCTATAACTAACTTCTAAGGTTGATTAAAAATTAATATGACTAAAAAGTGATGGCTTCATTCTTCAGATATGCCACTCAACAACACGCATACCCATACGGCCGTGCATGGTGGTGCACTGGTGCAGTGACTCATAAACTTGACTATGGCAGCCTGGCCTGGAGGTGGAATAGCACAGCGGAATAGGGAGTCCTTGACCGACTTCACACGGATACCCCTACGCCGTCTGTCACATCAGCACATTGCAGTGTTTCGTAAACATGACCTCCAAACTCCAAAGAGCCAAGTCTATTATCGTGTATTATGATTCTGACTGTGAACAGACATGCTGCTCAGTGTCATGGTTGGGTCAGGCCCACGTTCCATGGCCAGCTCGACACGGCCTGTCCGGTGGTCTGCTCGCGAGGCAGAGGGGCACCGACCTTACAAGTACACGTACTGAGCTGAGCCAAACCGCCTGCGCCTGCGCCAGTGCCAGTGCCAACAGCATAATGCATGCACTGTAGGCTATAGCAGTAGTCGTTCAGACTGGCGCACAGCCGGGGAGTCCTGAAAACCGCAGCTTTAGTTAGGGACCACATGCACGTCTGTTGTCAGCCACCAGGCAGCACCTGTGGTATCCAGCATGTGTCGCATATTAGGGGAGCCTTGTGACCATGGCAACTGTCACGGTTCCTCTCGATGCTAACTTGCACAGCCCGACTGTGCAATAGAGAACACCACTAGCATATTTTTGTTGGATTGTCCGGAGTCTGTCGACGTGCAAGGCAAACCCACATTGACATAATCAGATCAGGTACAGATGTGACAATTGATAAGAATGATATGAAACACATACACGTATGGCACAGTACTGGCTGTCCAAACACAAAGTACATGACTGTACACAATAGAGCTAGAGAGGAAAACGGCGATACGTGGGAGAGATAATTTGAAAAATAGAAGCCTATAAACACGCTGAGCGGGCCATGCAATGCACCGACGTGCACGGCATACAGATTATAATGTTACATAGCATCAAGGTTTATGATACAATAGCGGCTGCTACACAGAGGGATGCTCAATGGCTACACAGTGCACAGTGTATTTTCATCACTTTCCAGTACAAGTATATGTACTAGCACTAGTAGAAGGAATGAAAAAAGAAAAAGAAAATCATGTACAGAACTGTAAGGCACACCACTGAATGAGTTTGTACACAACGGTTTTGGACACGAGATGATAGTCTTATCATCAGAACTACAATGGTAAATGGACATAGCCCTTCATGAGCATACTATACACACACAAAAACCCGCAGTGACCATATGAGTCGTAGTCACAATGTACAGCACAAGAACAGAAAACCCCGATATAAAGTATTTGTTTTTGTACAATTTGTACATGTATAATAATACTTATGGATAATCATGCAAACCGGCAGCTAACTATTTATCGTACCGTTGCATGTACAGCTCCTTTGTACAGTGTGTTCACAGAGGATTGGCAGAGCACTGACAAGTCACCTGAACTATTTCCAACAGACGGCAATGTGGTGGTCTTCTTCCAGCATTGCATCCAGCTCAGGGTTGCTGCAGCCTACAGACGTGTACAAAATCACACATACATATGACATATCTGTTATTGGCGATGGCACCATCGTGACAATAAAGAATTCAAAAAAATCACAACAACAGGGGCACAGACACACAGGTACATGCGAAGGGCTCCAATTCAAAACGCGATAAAGACCAAACCGGAGCTTTTTCATTTTGTCAAGAAAGAATTCGTTTTCACCCCACGGTCGTCTATGTGTCGATTTTACGGGTCAAAACGCGATACATCCCAGTCAAAATGATGCCTGAAGTTTGTGTTCTTCTGCAAAACGCGATAAAAGTCATTGATGCTGCAGTGCAGACCGAAAAAGAACAAATGAAAAAATCACTTCCTGAAATTTCCACAAAATGGATTTATCTCGTTTTGAATTGGAGCCCTTCATGCACATAACAGTTACAGACACACATGTACACGGCCACAGACATATGCACACCCGGTATCCAGCAGACACATTCCCAGCTAGAGTTGTCAACGTGGTAAGCACTCAGGCTAAAGCAGTTCACTCCTTGCCAGGTCCACAGCGTCTGACTGTCACCTTGCAATGCAACTGCACATGCCAGCCACAAAGACCTAAGTTACAGTGATGCTACTTGGCCCAGGCTCGATATTTCTTCAAACATTTTTTTATTAAAAGATAGTCTCGCCTGGCACAGTTGTTGCAGTGAAAATACAGCTATGTAGGTGTACATGAACGCACGAAGACCAGACTGGCGGCGTACCTGTTAGACAGCAGATCTCATCTTCACACAGCTGCCCGGTCATCAGGTGAACCATCCACGGCTCGTGGTCCGAGTGCTCCGCCAGCAGTGTCGGGTACTTGTGCAGGCGGCGCAGCAAGCCGTGCAGCACGCAGAACTGAATCAGCGCCCTGCAGAGTAGACATTTACAGAGAACCGCAAACACGTCGTTGGGACCGGCGCCATGTACCCACAGTCAGTGCCAGTACAACAACCGTATATGTGACGCGCCTAAAAGGCCACACACTTACTTGATTCGAGTACAAGGGCACATCCACATATAAAGGCATGAAAAAATCACAAGACCCAAGAGTGTATTTTAATACTTGAATGCTCATATTGAAAGACATGCCCGTATATCCGGAACATTTGTTTCCTGGCGAAATGGAAAAAAATGCATTTTTTCGCATCTAAGAGCATGCACCTGTATGTGTGTGAATACGGTATGTACACATATGGTATGTAGATCTACACTGTATGTGTGTGAATATGGTATGTACACATATTGGAAAGGCTTCCTGTCTGAAGCCTTTCCATACTGGTACTCGATGTTCCAGTTTTGTGACACGAGAATGGCATGAGAATTAGTGTACCGCTGAGTGTACCGCTATACACGTGGTCGACACGTAGTCGACACTTTGTTGATACTTTTTTGACACGTGACCCCGTCAACGGTCTGCTTTGTGCCAATGCCACTCGGTAAACGCCGATGTCGCGTACGACAAAGACGACTATCCCGTACGCGAAATAGTTGAGAACTGCATGACGTGGACCTGACGGCAAGGACAACTGCGAGGAGGCCCCTTTCGGTACCCCTGACGGGAAGGAGAACTGCAGAAGTCGACGAAGTCGAACGAGGAGGCCCCTTTTCCGTACCCCATACTGCAAAGTGCCATTGATGGATACCTTTTGCACCTGGAACGACCCCTTAAACGCTGTCGCGGCGACTATCCCGTACGCGAAATAGTTGAGAACTGCTGACGTGGACCTTTTGCACCTGGAACGGCCCCGTAAACGCTGTCGTGTCGGCGGAGTGAATGTGCAGGGTACTAGGGTGAAAAGAATTGCTGCAAAGACGTCCCCTCTACTAGGCCTTTGCCTTTGGAGACATCGTCGGCGAACTGAATGCGCAGGGCGAAAAGAATTGCTGCAAAGACGTCCGCTCTAGGCCTTTGGAGACATCGTGGGAACTCCTTCCGGTACAATATAAACTGCTGACGTGGCCGTGGACATGTACATGGAGAGTCATGGTGGGACTTCATGTACATGGATACATGGTGGGAATTCCTTCCGGCACCCCCGTACCGCAAAGCCAACGGTGGGGAAGGAGAAGTGCAGACGTGCAGGAAGACGAACGAGGAGGAACCAGGACGAGCGAGCAATGGCAGGACTAGCTGGACCGTAAGTAATAGCTGAATTGTGCATGACAACTTGACATCCATGCGGCACTCGCCACTTGCCACTGCATATTTCTTGTCCACTAACAATGTCTCTCCTCTGCCCCCTGTGTGTCCACGGCCCTGTTTCTGAATTGGCCCGATGAATCGAATGTCTTCCGCAACTGGAACGGCCCCGTGAACGCTGTCGCGTCGGCGACTGAATGCGCAGGAGGCAAAATATTGCTGCGAAGACGTCTCCTCTAGACGACGGTAAGGCACCCCATTGATATGTTGCCAGTGTGTGCCAGGGTATCGCGCGATGGTGAATGAGGAATGATGAAGGGTACGGTGGGACTGTAGACCTGTTACCTTCTACTAACACGTTATCAGGTGGAGAGTGTCTTGTACTCACGTTATCAGGTCGAGAGCGTATTGTAGTCACTCTCTCTATTCCTGTACTTCATTACGTTTAAGGTGTACGTATAACTTCTCAAAAAAAGGTAATGGTCTACAGTCGTGTCGGAAGGGTACGGTGGGACTGTAAACATGTTACCTTCTAACACGTTATCAGGTGGAGAGTGTCTTGTACTCACGTTATCACTATTATCAGGTCGAGAGCGTATTGTAGTCACTCTCTCTATTCCTGTACTTCATTACGTTTCAGGTGTACGTATAACTTTTCCAAAAAATTTAATGGTTCACGTCTTCAGATAGAGAGCGTATTGCACCCACTGTCTAGTCTCTGTAGTGCATTGAGATTTTGTTGATCGAACATGAAATGGATACACAGACAAAGCCAGGCCAAGTACATGGCGAGATGTCGCCAGAAGAACGTCTTCAGGTAGAGAGCGTATTGCACCCACTGTCTAGTCGATTTTGTGGATCGCACATGAAATGGATACACAGACAAAGCAGGCCAAGTACATGAGAGACTGTGGACGATGTGCAGATCGACACGGCCTGCGGGTACTTCATTAAAGTTACCCGTGACATAACTAGGATAAAAGTTAATCACTGCAAAAACATTGCCAAGTATGTGAGCACTTTGGACTTGACAGAAGAGTGCACGGGCAACGTTGACAAAACATACCGCGGTGACTGTCACTATCATGACAGCAGGGCACATCGCACGCAGCATCGCAGATCGTGTCGAATTGCGCATCATAATAATTATTGCAAAATTGCTCCTGTGCATGCAAGTGGATTTCATTGCAATTCTCAGTTTGGGAAATGCTCGATTATGACAATTCTCCGTGTGAGTGCACTAGCCCTGAACAGACATGTAGGTGAACCGTTTGTGGTGTCTCAAAGCCTACCTCACGACCTTCTGCTTTCTTTCTTCATCACTTGTATCTTGCAGGTATATCATCCCGTGACGACCACATTGAAGTCTGAATTTGAAGTGTGAAGATGCTTCAGCAACCACATTGTACTTTTCCATTGCTTTCATTGTGCTTCTACTGTGCATGTGTGTAACTTGTGGGGTAAACATGTGATGACATTGTATGCTGGCAACACGGTCAGATGTTCATGCGTCTAACGTACACCTGCATGTTATGCATTGAAAAGGGTTTGCCACTTGCGATCCTGGGACGAGTATCAGGTCCGCTTTGTCCTGTGTGGGCTGTATCAGATTGCTGTTCACTTCTCTATCTGTTGGATATGTGACTTTCTGCAAGTTTCTGGTGTATGATGGCCACGTCCTTGCTTGTCACTTTGTATGATCATTACATTCTGTATTCGCTGCTTCCATGGCATGGTCTGCAAACTGCAATCCTTGGGCAAATGTCATGTTTGCTATGTTGTGCTTTGGCCGTCAGCTTGTCTACACGCTGTAGTTGAATTATTTTTGTTTCACAACTGACTTCCTCAAGTACGGTGGCCACTGCTTTGCATGGCATTATACATGAAGAATTTCCTGTTTGTGTCGTGTGCATGTGCGTATGTGTGCGTGGCCACTTGTGTGTGCCGTGTGCATACACATGTTTGTGTATCTGTGTGCGGGGTAGCGAGGCGGGGAGGGCTGGTATGTATCAGTGTATTATTGCAGTCGCATGGCTACATACAGTACATCGCGCGCGTGGTTATCATGTTTACCTTCGGGGTTGGGGTGGGGAGGGAACGGAAAAAGAGCTGAAATTATCCATATAAAAATCGCTCTGTGAGCGGTTCTGAAAAACCTTTACTGGTACTGCCCCGTCGTAAAAGGAAGAAATTAGAACTGGCCCATTGTCCCCCCAAATGCGAACTGATCCACCTAAATCGCGAATGACGGGACCCGAACGCACCAGTAGCACGAGGTTCCTACCTAGTACCTGTGGATGCAGATGGGGACGTTGGTCCGGACCATAGGCCATGTACTGTACTAGCGGTAGGCTTCCCTATCAAAATAATAAATTCTACTACTACTACTGGTGTTACCCTATGATAATTGCCGTGATCCTGTGCCCTCCCGACCTCGTGCTACTGGTGCGTTCGGGTCCCGTCATTCGCGATTTAGGTGGATCAGTTCGCATTTGGGGGGACAATGGGCCAGTTCTAATTTCTTACTTTTACGACGGGGCAGTGCCAGTAAAGGTTTTTCAGAACCGCTCACAGAGCGATTTTTATATGGATAATGGTATGTACAGTCAACTTCGCTTATAACGACACTCGGCGGGGCATCAGAAAAGTGTCCTTATTCGCGAAGTGTCGTTATACCCGAAGTCTCATTATACGTGTCACAGTTAGATGGGACTTTGCTCTGGGCATGAAAATTATGTTGTTATTCGCGAATTGTTGTTATATCCGCAGTCGTTATTAGCGAAGTTGACTGTACTATGTACACTGTGTGTGTGCATGTGTGTGTGTGTGCATGTGTGTGTGTGTGTGCATGTGTGTGTGTGTGTGTGTGTGTGTGCGTGTGCGTGTGTGTGTGTGTGTGTGTGTAGAAGGTGATTATCTCTTTCAGTTGTCTGTGCACGGTGTTATGGCAAAAGTCACTGCCGCTGGCTTTTGGTGTCATGAGTTTGTTTGTATAACTTTATACCATTTTACCTTGGAATTCCTTATGAGTGCATAGTCCTCAATGCCTATAGTGGCAGAGGATTTCACACTAGAAAATTGACAACTCAACGAATGTGGCTGCAACTTACAGTCTCACACAAAAAAAAGAAGAAAAAGAAATCATCCGGCAATGGCCAGCTGTTTTTAATAATATCTACTGGCTTGCAAAGCTGGTTATGTTTCTTATTGTATAGCCAGTGGTAACACGGGTGTGTGAACTTCATTTTAGGGGCCGTCAGTAGATATAGATATTTTATTTAGCATCTCATGTAGAATGACACCAAAGCAAAAAAACATGGCTGCAGCCTTTTTTCAGGGCAACTTGTCCCATATTACAGTCCATTTCAAAACTATAGACGCGTACCTAGGCAAAAACCGTTATGCCAGCATCTATACCACATAAAATCTGTGATCACTTTGTGCATAAATTTTTCCAAATTGGGCGTCTGTTATCCAATCCTTTAGAAACTATATGAGAGTAATTGTGGAGCGATCCTGAGCAATATTCCGAAAACTATTCTCAAAAAGTTCCAGCCAAATTTGAAATATTTCAAAAACCCTACGCGTCTATAGTTTTGAAATGCACTGTAGGCAATTACAACGTGGATTGGCCCCGCCAAATCAAATGTCGCAAAGACTATGCATTGGTTTCATTACCTGTGTCTGCATGATGGAGAGACATCTCACATTGAATTACAAAACTACTATTCTTTTCCTTCCACAGTACAGCATCGGTGTCTGCATGGAACATGCACACCTCATATTGCAGTCCAACAAAATATTCCAAGGTAGAGAGTTATGCACCGCACGATCTGAGCCCGGAAAGTCTCAATGGCAGCGCACATCTCTCACCTTTCATCGATGCCGTAGCGACGCACATTGAGTCGTATGCAAAGGTCACGCACGGTCACTCCCGGACCAAGGCCAGCACACACGCTGAAAACGGTGGCAATGGCTGGCTCCCGATCATCTGCATATGCCGAGCAGAAGAAGCAAATCCCCACTGAATACGGACCACAATACCCTTCTGGCTGGACAAGGCACTCCATCTATATATATACGTACTTGGTAAGAGCGAATAACCAAGAGTATACAACTGTGATCTCTTGTCTATGGGCCATATGCGCAACGCACTGCCTTCAACACATCATGAAGTTTAATCCACGCGCCACGGGAAATCAAACACCACACTTTCCTTGGGATTTGAAGCTAACTTTCGTGCGGAACTGAAGTTCAGTTCCTGCAACCAAATTTAGAGATGGCGGCGGTACTTGAATGAATCTGGCAAAAAAAACACGTTGCGCTGATGCGAGACATTTGTGAGTTTCAGTGCATGAGCGCAAGACGTGATGCAGGCATGCTGCGTAGCGTGATAAAGGCAGGGAATTGACCCATAAACACAGTTGCACACTCCTGCCTGGTTATGGACTGTTGATGTACAAGTACAACATACCTGCAAGTACAACATACAACATACCTGCAAGTACAACATACAACATACCTGCAAGTACAACATACAACATACCTGCAAGTACAACATACAACATACCTGCAAGTACAACATACAACATACCTGCAAGTACAACATACAACATACCTGGTTTGGTGATGAACTTGATGCACTTTGCCTGCAGGTCGTTGTCAGTAAGCAAGGTACTCAGCTTTGGCGTGGCAAGGTACACATTACTATACTGGAGAATACCAACAAGGAGAGTATGACAACAATCACACACAGACACAGACAGACAGATACATAGACACAGACACAGACACATGGACAGACAGACAGACAGACAGACAGACAGACAGACAGACAGACAGACAGACAGACAGACAGACAGACAGACAGACAGACAGACAGACAGACAGACAGACAGACAGACAGGTAGGCAGGTAGGCAGGCAGGCAGGCAGGCAGACAGACAGACAGACACACACACACATACACACACACACACACACACACACACACACACACACACACACACACACACACACACACACACACACACACACACATACATATATATCCGAGTGAAACACTTTAATCTTCACAAGTGTTACTCGGGATGAGCTCGTCAAACACATCGGAATCCCCAGTCACTTGGCACCAACTTGGAGCGTGATACTAATCCAGTGCTTCATTCAGTGCTCATTCAGTACAGTACCCGCTTATCTACTGTAAGTCAACACATATTCGGCGCATATTTATTCTCCGCTATTTTCGACCTGGCCATTTTTGGCCTAAAATTCGTTGCGGCTGTTTTGTTTTGCAAGGTTCAGTGTGACAGTGTATACAGGCAGCAGCAGTACAGGCTGACATTTTAATGTGGCCAACATGTGTTTTAGCCCCGGGAGGCCGAAATTTAAACGCGCTGAAAATTTGTGTAGACTTACAGTACTGCAGACATGGAGTAGCAGAGGTAGTGGTGATAAGAAAGGCTACATTGTGATCCCTACCTGGAATATAGGAATTAGTGTAGTGGTGATAAGAAAGGCTACATTGTGATCCCTACCTGGAATATAGGAATTAGTGTAGTGGTCATAAGAAAGGCTACATTGTGATCCCTACCTGGAATATAGGAATTAGTTTGACCACTCCAAAGTACCTGAGCAAAGAGAACATTGGACAGCGAGGCACGCACAGGTAAAACGACTATTTGCTACAAACTGAACTTGCTCCTCAACTTGCAGAGAACAATATTTCTGAACATGGGCGCGGGTTCCAACAGAAATCCGAGGACTGCTTCTCAGAAACACGCTACATAAAAGCACAAGAGGCATACTACATGTACATGAAATAGGGGTGTGCACGGATAGTCGGGTACCCGTGCTACCCGTGAGGACCTCGGGAAGAGGGGTACAGAATAGTACCCGAAAACCCAAAGTCGCAGATGACATCATGGACAGTGCACGTGATACTCCGCATGTAAGGGAAGGGGTGCATTGTGGTGTTGCCATAGACATATTACCCGATAGGGTACCCGTGCTACCCGTGGAAAACTACCTGAACCCGATACCCGAAGAAAATGCTACCCGACTCAGCACTAACATGAAATGTGTGTAGTAAGTTACTAGTAAGGGGTACTAGTAGAAGAACTAAAGTAGTCAAGAGGACTATAGAATGAAATATGGCTACTAAGACTTTCAACTGCAGACCATACCCGTGACAACCACAGCACAAAACAGTGGAACAAGAATCAGATTACGAACTGCAACAACACGCAACAATGATGATTCTTGTTTCACTGTTTTGTGCGGTGGGTACGGTCTGCAGTTGAACGTCTTAGGGCCGATTCCCACTACGGTACCGTGAGTGCCGTGCCGACGATTTGGGTAGGTCACGTGTACCCCACGGTACGAGCTTGAAGCTGAGAGTGATTTACACCTGCGCACAGTCATTCCGTGCATTCCGTCGGCAGGCTGGATCACCATTTTTTTTAAATCAATTTCTGACTTTGGTCCTGAGGGAAAATAGCGGGGGCCGGGGAGATGACTGGAGAAAGCTCAAGAATCAACCAATCGAAAAGCCAAAAGCCAAGAAAAAACTTCGTACCACAAATACAAAAGAAAGAAAAAACTTCCTTTCAGGGAGTAGTAAAATACCTACTACTCACTGCATTCGACCTCGCGGAATACCACGGCATGCCATTTCCACCCCCAGAGGCCCTCGGCACCGGAATGTCCACGGCGCGGTACGGCAGGAGCCACGGAATGAACTCGAGCCAAAACTGCCCCTCACGTGAGCAAATCACCATGGGTACTCACGGCACGACACTCACGGTATCGTAGTGGGAATCGGCCCTTAGGACTATGTGTGGTAGCGTTTTCATCATGCCAGTGCGTGTACTGTTTATTGCATGAAAACAGAAATCCACCCGTTGTAGAAATAGAAGAAGAGGAAAGGGTTAGGCTCTGCAGTAGGGGAGCATGATAGTGTTTTCCTTTGGTGCTACCATCGCCTAGTAGTGAAATAAAATTTAAAAAAAACTCACACCAGGTGTTGGATGCAGAGACGAACAAGGACGATGTCTACGTTGGCTTTGTAGGCAATGCGCGCAATGTGCGTATAGCCGTTGATGTGGGGAAGCACCTGGCGCAAAGAGAAAGAAACGCACGAGCATGAAGCAAAGGTGCCACGAAAACCACTTCAAAGTGACCGGTACTGTTCACAAATACAATGTACGAGCACAGTTGTACGCTACTGATGTCGAACAAATATTTCAAGTCCGCCCGTGCCCAGATTTGGGCAGTGGAGCCAAGATGGAGCTGCCGGTGGGTGCATGCACACATGGACAAAGGTATGTACAGTACACGCATGGCGTGTCAACCACTACCGGTAACATACGGGTGGATCTCGTCACTCACGTCATCAAAGCAGTACATGAACTTCGTGAAGTTCGCTCTAAACTACTTCAAAAGTAGGTTGCCCAGCAAGAGCACAATGAGCATATTCAACTCTTGAGCATACCATGTACCGGGAAGATTCCTTGTCGTGGCATCGTGGAGCTCATGTTCTGTACATGGACAGCCATTCGGCCTTGCCCCCCCCCCCCCCCCCCCACCAAACTCCCTAGTTACAAGCACATACACCAACAGGCACACATGACACGACCACTGTCATCAACAAGCACAACGTACTGTAAGACATGTAATCATAACGAGGAAGTAAATCTAACGTTTTAAATACTGGATATGCCTGAAGACTGCAAGATCGTGAACGTATCTTCTTGTTAACGTATGAGTTTGGGACAGTTTGGGACAATCGTTACATTTGCGACTCATTATAACATGTCTTACAGTACCTGCTGAACCATCAAGTCCCAGGAGAAATTCGGCGCATCCTCCACATGGTTGACAAAAATCGGTACGTGATGGTCTGCCACGGCGGGAGGATCATTCAGCTGCTGGAGAGTTGTCAGGTAGATAGAGTGTGCCGTGTCTAAACAAACATACATATCAACAGAGCTCCATTGTGATTTCAACACAGGGTAAGCTGAGGTGATCAGGGAGGAAGAGCTAAAATGGGTAAGGCTGCAGCCGCACTAGGTAAAACATATACCGGTAAGCGATGCTCTAACCACTGAGCTATGGTGTAGCCGTCATCCCAGCACAGACCGTTCAACATTTTTTTTAGACTTAACAACAATAATAATAATATCCATATAAAAATCGCTCTGTGAGCGGTTCTGAAAAACCTTTACTGGTACTGCCCCGTCGTAAAAGTAAGAAATTAGAACTGGCCCATTGTCCCCCCAAATGCGAACTGATCCACCTAAATCGCGAATGACGGGACCCGAACGCACCAGTAGCACGAGGTCGGGAGGGCACAGGATCACGGCAATTATCATAGGGTATACCAGTATTAGTAGTAGAATTTATTATTTTGATAGGGAAGCCTACCGCTAGTACAGTACATGGCCTATGGTCCGGACCAACGTCCCCATCTGCATCCACAGGTAGGAACCTCGTGCTACTGGTGCGTTCGGGTCCCGTCATTCGCGATTTAGGTGGATCAGTTCGCATTTGGGGGGACAATGGGCCAGTTCTAATTTCTTACTTTTACGACGGGGCAGTACCAGTAAAGGTTTTTCAGAACCGCTCACAGAGCGATTTTTATATGGATAATTTCAGCTCTTTTTCCGTTCCCTCCCCACCCCAACCCCGAAGGTAAACAAATACATGATGACCACGCACGCAATGTACTGTATGTAGCCATGCGACTGCAATAACACACTGATACATACCAGCCCTCCCCGCCTCGCTACCCCGCACACAGATACACAAACATGTGTATGCACACGGCACACACACGTGGCCACGCACACATACGCACATGCACACCACACAAACAGGAAATTCTTCATGTATAATGCCATGCAAAGCAGTGGCCACCGTACTTGAGGAAGTCAGTTGTGAAACAAAAATAATTCAACTACAGCGTGTAGACAAGCTGACGGCCAAAGCACAACATAGCAAACATGACATTTGCCCAAGGATTGCAGTTTGCAGACCATGCCATGGAAGCAGCGAATACAGAATGTAATATCATACAAAGTGACAACCAAGGACGTGGCCATCATACACCAGAAACTTGCAGAAAGTCACATATCCAACAGATAGAGAAGTGAACAGCAATCTGATACAGCCCACACAGGACAAAGCGGACCTGATACTCGTCCCAGGATCGCAAGTGGCAAACCCTTTTCAATGCATAACATGCAGGTGTACGTTAGACGCATGAACATCTGACCGTGTCGCCAGCATACAATGTCATCACATGTTTACCCCACAAGTTACACACATGCACAGTAGAAGCACAATGAAAGCAATGGAAAAGTACGATGTGGTTGCTGAAGCATCTTCACACTTCAAATTCAGACTTCAATGTGGTCGTCACGGGATGATATACCTGCAAGATACAAGTGATGAAGAAAGAAAGCAGAAGGTCGTGAGGTAGGCTATGAGACACCACAAACGGTTCACCTACACGTCTGTTCAGGGCTAGTGCACTCACACGGAGAATTGTCATAATCGAGCATTTCCCAAACTGAGAAGTGCAATGAAATCCACTTGCATGCACAGGAGCAATTTTGCAATAATTATTATGATGCGCAATTCGACACGATCTGCGATGCTGCGTGCGATGTGCCCTGCTGTCATGATAGTGACAGTCACCGCGGTATGTTTTGTCAACGTCGCCCGTGCACTCTTCTGTCAAGTCCAAAGTGCTCACATACTTGGCAATGTTTTTGCAGTGATTAACTTTTATCCTAGTTATGTCACGGGTAACTTTAATGAAGTACCCGCAGGCCGTGTCGATCTGCACATCGTCCACAGTCTCTCATGTACTTGGCCTGCTTTGTCTGTGTATCCATTTCATGTGCGATCCACAAAATCGACTAGACAGTGGGTGCAATACGCTCTCTACCTGAAGACGTTCTTCTGGCGACATCTCGCCATGTACTTGGCCTGGCTTTGTCTGTGTATCCATTTCATGTTCGATCAACAAAATCTCAATGCACTACAGAGACTAGACAGTGGGTGCAATACGCTCTCTATCTGAAGACGTGAACCATTAAATTTTTTTGGAAAAGTTATACGTACACCTGAAACGTAATGAAGTACAGGAATAGAGAGAGTGACTACAATACGCTCTCGACCTGATAATAGTGATAGCGTGAGTACAAGACACTCTCCACCTGATAACGTGTTAGAAGGTAACATGTCTACAGTCCCACCGTACCCTTCCGACACGACTGTAGACCATTACATTTTTTTGAGAAGTTATACGTACACCTTAAACGTAATGAAGTACAGGAATAGAGAGAGTGACTACAATACGCTCTCGACCTGATAACGTGAGTACAAGACACTCTCCACCTGATAACGTGTTAGTAGAAGGTAACAGGTCTACAGTCCCACCGTACCCTTCATCATTCCTCATTCACCATCGCGCGATACCCTGGCACACACTGGCAACATATCAATCGGGTGCCTTACCGTCGTCTAGAGGAGACGTCTTCGCAGCAATATTTTCCCTCCTGCGCATTCAGTCGCCGACGCGACAGCGTTCACGGGTCCGTTCCAGTTGCGGAAGACATTCGATTCATCGGGCCAATTCAGAAACAGGGCCGTGGACACACAGGGGGCAGAGGAGAGACATTGTTAGTGGACAAGAAATATGCAGTGGCAAGTGGCGAGTGCCGCATGAATGTCAAGTTGTCATGCACAATTCAGCTATTACTTACGGTCCAGTTAGTCCTGCCATTGCTCGCTCGTCCTGGTTCCTCCTCGTTCGTCTTCCTGCACGTCTGCACTTCTCCTTCCCCACCGTTGGCTTTGCGGTACGGGGGTGCCGGAAGGAATTCCCACCATGTATCCATGTACATGAAGTCCCACCATGACTCTCCATGTACATGTCCACGGCCACGTCAGCAGTTTGTACAGTACCGGAAGGAGTTCCCGCGATGCCCCCAAAGGCCTAGAGCGGACGTCTTTGCAGCAATTCTTTTCGCCCTGCGCATTCAGTTCGCCGACGATGTCTCCAAAGGCAAAGGCCTAGAGCCTAGTAGAGGGGACGTCTTTGCAGCAATTCTTTTCACCCTAGTACCCTGCACATTCACCCCGCCG